TAGAGATCTACCTGTTCCGAAAATTTGTTAACGTTGAATGGCATAGCTACCCTGGATTACGTGAGCGACCGTTTGACTTCGACCTCGTAGAATAACTTTTGTAGATATATTACAAAACTAATTTGGTCCCGCCACAATCTCAGTAATAATAATTTTAAATAAATACCTACTCGTACATGGTTATTATAACAGCCGTTAAATTTGAGGATTAATTAAAATAGACAATATTATTTCTTTGACACTGAAGCATTATGTTTTTTAAAAGGAACATTATAAATGCATAAGTATGTCTAACTGTCTGTTTATTAAACAGGTAAAATATTAATGATATTTGACATAAAATTAGATTGAATCACAGACGGATATAGGCTATGATTTGACACAAAACTCAAATGAATAGCAGACGAAATCGCGGACATCATCTAGAGTATCATATAAGTATCTATACAGATGAATTTATCCTCATTTTTATTATTATTGTAGTCATAATTTATTACAAATGAAAAGACTGTCCGTTGATAAAATTCGATGTTGATTTATGAAAGTTCTTAATGGCAGTAAGAATCGAGTTTCGCTTATTTGTTGTTCTTTATTTAAATTTACTTCATCTAAGTACTTTTAAATTGACACTTTTTTAAGTCTACGAGGAATTTGCACATACTGTTTGGCAAGAAAACTTTATGAAACTCCAGTAACTAATAATTATTTTAAAATTATCAGTAAATTTGTTGACTATAATAAAAAAATATATAGAGATATCGGCCCCGGACACCCATCCGCTTCTCCGGCGCATGTTTATTTTACCATATGAAGAAATATCCAGCAACGAAGCAGTGGGTCTTGTGCTCATGTGCTCGCTCTTTTTTTTAGAGATTGCTGGCTAGAGCTATCAGGGACAGGAATTGAAGGATATTCTTAGAAGCGATGGTTTTTATCTCCTTAGGATACAGTATGTACTACCACATACTAAAAGAGATTTCGTTTATACCTACATGAGTGGGCTACAACCACATGTGAAGTATAGCGTTTCCTCTTCAACTTAGCAAAATCTGCAAATCTTTGTTAAGCGCAGTAGACAATCATTAATGAACATGACTTACCCATTACAATTAACGCATAATGCATGTATACGAGGTACCACCTTAGTCTTCGACCATCGGACAGGTAAAGCGGTGTTACATATCTTATAATGTTACGTTTAATTACCTAAACCTATGTATTATGCAAGATGGTAGTAGGAGTATCCAATTGAATATAAGACAATTACAAATATTTATGAACTTGTACGCTTTCAAATAATTCACTATTTAATACATTCATAATTTAAGTGCTGTACTCTTGAGTGGAGTTCATGCCATTTTCCATGATTTTCCATTAATCTCTATAGTTGTTAATGCGATACGACTCTTTTTCCTTGATCTAATAATATACTTAAAAAAAGATACCTTTATCTGTCGTACTAAAAGCATAACGAAATCAACCTCTATATGACCTTTACTGTTTTTCCTCCTATACCAGTACTCAATTCCATTGGGAATGTAGGTATAAAAGATTTAAATAAATTGAATAAAGTAAAAAAATCTTTACCTTGTCTATGAATCACTGATATATTCAATTCAAAGATGCAATATTTTGCTTCGATAACTTTTACTTTTACAAATAATAATTAAGAAAAATTATTAGAAGTATATATATATATATATATAAGAAAAACTAATAACATTGATTTCATTATAGCAAACATTCTACACCTACTCTAACTCACAAATATTCGAATACGGTTTACTAATAGCACAGATAATATAATATTAAATACTACTAGGAAGAATTAAAAAGTATAATGAATTACACATACACTGACTTTGTACCTAATCGCAACTGTATAACTGCTTAAACATACTGTAACCGCCATCCGCCATTTTCAGACAATCTCTTTCAAAATCCTGAGAATATAATCCTAAAACGAGGAAGTTGGTTTTAAACTGTTCTTAGTTGGTATAAAATTTTAATACTTAATAATATCCACAAACAGTTCAGCTCACGTTTACATTACAGAAAACATTCAACGGATAAAAAGTTTGAAACTTCACCTCTACATACGTAAATGTATAACGTAGCTTTGGCCTATTGTAGTCTCTAACAATATTTAGAGAGAACTCGACAACAACAGTTACATAACAGAAATGTCCGAAACTAAATCGAATACCAAGTATCAATTTTGTGGACAAAGTTCAAAATTTCCTGGCAATACAAATGAACTGCAATTATGTTCGTTATGTGCTATCATTTCCCGCGCTTGTAGTGTTATGTCAGTTTGATTACGCTGGTCGGGCCCACGAGTACAGAGCAGGTCATTGGGGGGTGGGGGGTATGTTCAGTCCGAGCAACAGGCGTCGGCTGATCAATGAACAGCCCCCGCGCACCGCGCCTCTCAGCCTGCGCCGCACTTGTTGCGCGCACGGCCCATATCAAAATACCCGCGATTTAACACAAAATGTATCCAACATTCCCAACCTTACCGCCAAAGTAATAAAGATCATAATAACAACAATAATTTACTAGTAAGTATAGGCTTTGCTCGCCAAGTGCGCTCTACTCGACTCGACGTGTATTACCTATCTAAGTCGAGGCTTTTACGCGGCTACGACATGAGTATTATCAGGATTCCATAAGCGTGCCGTCGATAAAGATACGCTGATGACCTTTTCAGGTACCCTTTTGATCGTTTCGATACGTGGTACATAACGATGGCTTCTTATACTGTATATAATACAAGTGTTTACATAGGAGGGTAGATAATGGAACGAGCTCCTATTACCTACTACGTTAATACTGACATTACTATACTTGAATAGGTGGTATGACACTGAGTGGATAGATGTTGCAGGCACCGTAACCGATCTATTATTCGTACTTTTTTTTTGTTTATCGTTTCGGTATTTACTTTATAATTAAACATCTACCTAAACCTGTACAAGTACCTAAATTTCGCGTCCGTTCATCTATGTACCTTCTGAAATCATTTACATTCTAGAAGTGTTTAATGAATGAGAGTTTTTTAAATTTTATCGCAATATATTATAGAATAATATTCTTATAGATCTCCACAGTACTGCACGGTTCCAATGTACAATCAAATATTCAGTACAATATAACAATAACACTACATACATTAGTTTTTGGGGGATCGTGCAGTTCTGAAACGAATTAAAAATACACTTAGTCATTGAATTGTAATAAATATGGGTAGGTAACGCTGATAAACTAAGAGACCGTCGTGGCATAGTGGTGTGCCAATTTATAGATCACAATAGCACAACTTTATTTCTGACTTTCTGGTGATAGAAACACCGATAACAATTAATGTACGAGGCGGCAGTATTTTCGCAACCTGTGACGTTTACATTCAAATATACCTGACCTACCTAAATGTGTGCACGCCACATGATTCACCACGGCTTCGAATCTAAAATTGGAGAAAGGGATTGTGAATAATGATTACTATTGACCCCACCCATTTCTAGTTATATATCATTAGGTCAATATCCACCCGTCGGGGGGACCCTCTGGATATCATCGTTGTTGATTCTCGGGGCTTGAATATGTAACGTAATTACAAGCATGTTGTTCCAAATATAAATAAATACTACAGTTTATGGCACATCATACAATTTTCATTTGTTTAAAATAAGAAACTATTTGATGATAATGATAATGATGCTCCATATAAATTCTCAACAATAGGCATGGAGGGATGAATATACGTAATATTTTCATTCCTCCAAGCCAGCTCTTTGTCAAACCTAGGAAGTCCCAGAACACAGTGCATCACACCTGTGCTAGGACGACAACTTGTCATAAAATTCTATACAAAGCATGAATTAGAAATCTTAGAATTAATAGTCCATCCAATCAATACAATGTTATGAGATGTGATCTTTATCTTGCAGGGAGATGATGATGGGTATATAATATTGCGTAATTGCTTTGTACTTCCTTAATTTTAAATGCAGATATTTTTTTAAATAAAAAATATATGTTAATAAGCTCCAGCGTGTGACCCGAGTAAGTAATCTCTATGCTTTTGCAAAAAAATTGGTAGGTAATTTGTTTTTGATTAGGTATGTTGCTTTTATTCCATTTTCCGAAAAGTATCTGAAAAATTTTAGCAAGATAACATTTGCGAATTTTAAGACTTGTTACATTTTCTATTACAATACTCCAAATGAGAAATTATTTAACTTCATAGATATTTATGCCGTTATACTATATTATATTAAAGTGTTATGCAATATTATGGTAATATACAATAATAAATTTAATATATTTTGACTATAATTTATTAATCGACAATATTACCTATCCAATATGTATGAGAAATATAATATTAAATAAGTAATGAGAAAAACTGTACTCGTTATAGTCTCTAACATCGTAATTACAGACACCATGTGGCTTAATGAAGTGATGATTCTATTATCTAAGTAACGATAGTAACAGATAAATATATTCTAGTGTTCTGATTGCCTACCCAAAACAAATATCTGAATACATACATGATCAGTATTCAGAAATTCAAAATGACCGCCATATATGTGGCACTGTTGGCCTGCTACGAACATAGGCAATACCACAGATAATCCAATTTATTTATAAAATTGAATATAGTCTGTGGTTCCAATCATATTAGAATTGTCGTGTCTCTAATACACGACTATTGGCCCAAAAGAAATATAGTACTGAATTGTAATTGGCTAAAAAGAACTCTAACTTTTTCTGACAATCTTCAATAAGCAATCTACTAATTGTTATTGGTCAGATATTGAAATATGTCATTTACTATGACTGGAACTTAAATACTAAATGGAAGTCAATTTGCTATTTTTGTATTTTGGCATTATCTTCTTGTAGTCTGACTTAAATGTTATTTAAATTAGTTTTGATTCTGCTGTTGTTATCTATAGCAAACAAAGGTTTGTGTTTTATAATAGAACTGTGCTGACCTTTTTATCACTGTTCGATCTTGAAATTTTACGTGTATGTGATTCTCGTGATCAACGGCATAAATATCATGAAAACTGTCGTGCAGCGCGGCTGGCGCAACGCCTCGTCGCTAATAGTGCTGAACAAGCGATACGGTGACTTGACACGAGCCCCTGTTAACTACGACATATTATTGCAGACTCGACCGAGCACGGGAGCTTTCCCCAACGGTGTGGTGTTCCCGGGCGGTGTGACCGAGCCTGCCGATGATAGCGAACAGTGGTTGAAACTATTCAAGTCATTTGGATATTCAGACGAAGATTTCGCGACTTTCTACAGCACAGGCACTCCAACTACTTTATTTCAACCCAATCCTATATTAAGGTAATTATCAATGTTTCTAGTTGTACATAAGAGCGATTTTACACAATTTTTGTTTATTCATATATGTTTACTTAAACATGTTTGATCACATTATCTGTATATCTATGTTTGTTTTGCTTCCTAAGACAACATTTCTTCATTGTGGTTTGTATATTTACCTCAGGCACATAGCATTGAGAATAACTGCAATCAGGGAGACCTTTGAAGAAGTTGGACTGTTGTTATGCAGCAGGGATTTTAAGAGTAACAGGAACAGCTTTTATGCTAGTGTATTGGATGTAGACACTAAATTTTGGCAGAAAGAGGTGAGTCTATTACTACAAATTTCATTTTTTGTACTATTTAAATGTAAATTCTCCTATTTATAACTATTGAATTTCAAGCAAAATCTCTTTTTATTTTTATTAAATTAAATTCTTTTTTTTTAAATCTATCAACTGGTCATATTTTTTTTTATGACTCATAATGGAATGGTGTTCCCACCGAAATGGAGTGTGACCTAAATGTTTATGCTGAGGAGGCCTCAGTGGAGGATGCTAAGATGAGAATGAAGTCAGGTCAGTTTGTCCATTCATGGTACATTCCTGATGAATATTATGATACATCAATATCATTCACCATGAATTTATCATGATGGTGTCCAGGGACCGTATGGAGGTCAACCCGATATGGTACATTGCTAGCAATAGGGTCAACAGTCCACATTACTAACAATCCCTTTACCCCAAAGGGTCATATTGTACTCACAAAATAATTAATAATCTTTCATCAATGATCAAATGATACAGATCTAATAATTTAAAACTACACTAATATTATAAAATCAAGTGTGCCTATGTGTTTAAATACATTTTAAAGTTATATTAAACTATTAACTTTAATATTCAAAGACTTTTTGATATACATTGTGCTATTTCTATTTCACTATAAAAGTGATTGTAATGAATTTTCATAGATAGTACATAATATGGACATAGGCAATCTTTTATCTATAAACCAACAGATGAAGTTATGGGTAATGCTAATAAAAATAAGAAATAAGTGTGACATAAGAAACAATTGAAATCTATTGGTATTAGAATGTAAGCCTCACATTCTAAATTACCAATTGATTTCAAGGATAGAGTAGCTATAATCCATATACACAATGATGTGGGTGATAGGTATTTAAATTACTAGACTATTGCACTTTGAAATATAGTAGTAAAATTAACTATAGATAGTTATGTTTTATGACTTATATTATTCTCAAGTCCAAAAATCTCACAGATTAGATTTCTTTTGTAGGAGAAAGTGCTAAAATGTCAATTGTTATATGCATATAAGGGCTAAGGTTGTGAAAATTTTCCAATATAGGCCAAGTGGATGATATATACAGTCATATTAATCCTCCCTCTATGCAAAATACACAGATATAGAGATATTTATGTATATTCACTGCTATGTTTCCTAGTTTAAAGTAGAGTGCTGTCCACATTATCAAGCTGTAAATGCATTTAGTAATGTGCCTGTAGATTGAAAGAATATTAGACGCGTTTCAGTATTCAAAAGTAAATTAATGTTATGGTTACTCGAACAAAAATTATTGTAGTTTAGACCTATATTTTTATGAATTTATATTTATATTTAAACACTATTGTATTATGAATAAATTACTTGATACGTCATTTATTCATAATACAATATTACAATAGTAATATCATATCCTACCCTTTAAATTGACACACAAACAAGCATATTTATTTTTATACTAGCTGTCCCGGCAAACATTGTTTTGCCTTAAAATAAAAAAAAAATTAGGGGTGGACTACCCCTAACATTTAGGGTGATGAAAAAGATGTTGGCCGATTCTCAGACCTACTCAATACGCTCACAAAATTTCATGAGAATCGGTCAAGCCGTTTCGGAGAAGTATGGGAATGAAAACTGTGACAGGAGAATTTTATATATAAGATAACAGAAATGGCAAAACAGCTATGGTATTCCTGTCAAAACATCTATGGTAATCGTAAGTCGCAAATGTTGTCTATGTATACATAAACCCTATGAACATGAAGTTGTCATGTGGCATAACATATGTGTTGCCACTCTAACGGAATAAGATTATTATGCTTGTGTATCCTGTGATTTTGCTCGTTATATCTACATTTCAAGTGAAACACAGCATATAAAGAAGCTCCCTAGTGGATGAAATAGATGAGACAGATGTATGGGCTAGCAGATAAATTTTTACAAAGTCTACCTTGATAAAATATGCCTCTATGACGCACTTTTCACTTATTTGAGATTAATAATCTTGTAGGGTGGCACCAATAAGCAAAGTAATATTTTTGATAAGTTTTCTTATTAAATGTTATGTAATTTTTGTAATTATTATACTAAACTAGCTGTTATCCATGATTCCATTCACATGGAATTAAATGTTTAAAATTAAATTAAAATACTAATTACTCCCTACAACATTACCTATATATGCAATTAAATGTTCCGTCATATCAGACCAGCCGTTTTATCGATTAGCAAGAACAAAAAGACAAAGACAATTTGTTTACAATTCATTTTTTTATACTGTATGCATTTAGTAAAAATCTGTTAATTTGAATTTACAAATAGACACTTCATTTTTATTTATTTGTATAGATTCACTGATGATGTTTAAAGGGTAAACAAATAGTTTAAAGAAAACTAAACAATTGTCTACTTTTGAACAGTTATATTTTTTATGCTTTTTATAGATAAGTAAAAATCCTGAGCAACTTCTGAATCTGTGCAAGGAGTACAATTGTTATCCTGACATTTGGTCTCTTTTCTACTGGAGCCAATGGATGACTCCATGCAATTTCCGTAGACGATTCGACACTGCATTCTTTGTTACAACATTACAACACAGGCCAGAAAAGCTCAAGTGTAGCTCAGAAGTTACAAAAGTCCAGGTATGTTAATTGACATGTTGTAATATATTGTTAAGAAATATTGTACTTAAATTCTTTTAGAATTTAAAAAGTGAACCTGAAGTATATACAATGTAGTAAAATAATGCAAGTTTTTATAATGGTAAATAAATAATATTGTTTTACAATATTATTTGTTTACCATTATAAAAACCCGCAAGCAAGAAGTACACTGAATTTTTTTATTTTACCAATATAAAAGCCCATACTAATAGGCTTTTATATTGGTAAAATAAAAAAAATTCAGTGTACTTCTTGCTTTTAATTTGGACAACATTAGACACAATGATGTTATATTGGATAAAAAATATTGTAGTTTTTATTAAAAAAAACAGCAAGTGAAAGATTTAACATTCTACTCACTTTGCTCCACGTATAAGCTTATGATTTTATCTCTGGATTTTCTGAAGGAAAACTTAGAGTTATCATGCCCATTGTACATTTTTTTTATACATCACATTTATGAATGTAATTTCTAATTAATTTTAGCTTGAACTGCAATTAAAAATAAACATGAAATTGACTTTAAGTTTAAATTATACTATTTGTAAAGTATATATATAAAGTAACATTAATAATTATTAACAAAACATTATTTTTCAGTGGGACAACCCTACAGACATCTTTAAAAAAAATATCCAATTGGAATTAGAGTTACATCCACCACAAGCCTATGAGATATTGCGACTTGCACATATACCAGATATTGATGATTTGACCAAATTTGGAGCAAAAAGAAATAAACACAACATTGATGTAATATATCCTATTGATATCATAGCAAAGGATGGCACAATACTTGTTTATCCAGGTAAAACATTTTTTTTGTTAATTGATGAGATCACTTTTATCTATTACTAGCCAAAATCGGTCCAGCCATTTATATGTATAGATAAACAAATTAAATAAAATTACTATGGAGTTAATTTATATGTGGTCAAAATGGGAATGAGAAGTATAGTAGTGATATCTCTATACAAGTTTCTAAAAGATCTTGGCCTGTCTGGAACTACAGTAAGGTGTATAACAATGTATATCTAAAGCTGCACTAGCAGGCTTCTACCAAATTTAGCTGGGCAGGGATAGAAACACGAGTGGTGAGGGTGAGTCAACATGCACCCTCACCACTCTTGTTTTTGTTTAAAGGGCGGTTTTCGGTTTAAGGGGCTTTTGCCAACATACATCAATATGTATGTTGGCAAAAGCCCCTTAAACCTACACACGGATCCTTCTCTTCGAATCCTTGGGAACCATTAGGTGAATCCATGGTATGCTTAGTTTGTCTCACTGCTACCAAGTGTAATACAAATAATAGCTTATTACTCATTATCCCATGCTAAAAAACAGGAGAATAGTGAGATTCATTTACTATTTTAATTTGCAAATGCAATATAGAGTATGTATATATCTCTAGTAGTAATACAGATAAATATATTTACCATTGTGTTTTCAGGAGATGACCTCTACCCATCAAGTTTAGATTATTATAACGACGCTATAAACTGTGAGGATAAGACAGTGTTACAACTAAGGGAGGAAACATCAGTAATCCATAGATTGGAAAAACTACATGCAGAAAAAAAATCCATGCTAATCTTTAAAAATTATAAACAAAATAACCATATAAATATGGGCGATAAACTTCTCGAATTTTATTATAATGAAACAAACAAAGTGTAACCGGTAGTTCCAATATATGCCTTACAGTTTGGCCTTATTAGAAGTACAAATAATACTCCTAGCTGATATATTAGTTCATCATATAGAAATCCATAGCTAAAGATAATATGGCAGGCTCGAGTCACTCGTGGCCTAATAGCCAGGACGATTATGAGCTGTTGGAAGTGATCGGTGTGGGCGCCACTGCTGTCGTCCATGCGGCCTATTGCGCACCGCGCGGCGAAAAGTGTGCCATCAAACGTATCAACTTGGAGAAGTGGAACACCTCCATGGATGAACTGCTCAAAGAAATACAGGCTATGTCCAGTTGCAATCACGAGAATGTCGTAACATATTACACGAGTTTCGTCGTAAAAGATGAGTTATGGCTTGTGCTTCGTCTCTTAGAGGGTGGTAGTTTATTAGATATAATTAAACACAAAATGAGAATTTCCAATTGTAAACATGGGGTGTTTGATGAAGCGACTATCGCAACTGTTCTTAAGGAAGTACTAAAAGGTCTCGAATACTTTCACCAGAATGGCCAGATACACAGAGATATCAAAGCCGGTAACATACTGCTTGGAGACGACGGAATTGTACAAATTGCGGATTTCGGCGTGTCGGCCTGGCTCGCTACCGGCAGGGATTTATCCAGGCAAAAGGTGAGACATACATTTGTCGGTACTCCCTGCTGGATGGCGCCAGAAGTCATGGAACAGAATCACGGATATGATTTTAAGGCAGACATCTGGTCATTTGGAATAACAGCTATTGAAATGGCTACTGGTACTGCTCCGTATCACAACTATCCACCAATGAAAGTGTTGATGCTTACACTGCAGAATGACCCCCCAACTTTGGACACTGGCGCTGACGAAAAGGATCAGTACAAAGCTTACGGTAAAACCTTCAGAAAAATGATTTCAGAATGTCTTCAAAAGGACCCCACCAAGAGGCCTTCTGCACCAGAATTACTGAAGCACTCATTCTTCAAAAAAGCGAAAGACCGTAAATATTTAGTGCAAACCCTAGTGACAATAGGACCAAGTATGGAAACCAGAGTGCATAAGGCGAGTAAACGACAACCTGGTACCTCTGGTCGCCTCCACCGCATGGAAACTGGAGAGTGGGTATGGGAGAGTGAAGAGGATGATGAAGAAGAGGACGGAGAGACGAGCCGCGACCGACCTATGAATCAGCTTTTGCGCGCGGACTCCTCCGAGAGCGAAAGCGAGGAAGGCGAACCCCGCGCAGGCTTCACCATAGGCTCTCTCGATGCAGAGGAAGCTCCACAGATCAATCTAGTGCTACGCATGAGGAACTCTCGGAAAGAATTGAATGACATTCGCTTTGAATTCGCTGCGGGCAAAGATTCTGCGGACGGAATCGCAACAGAACTGGTAGGCGCGGGATTGGTGGAGGCTCGGGACTCGGCTGCTATCGCGCAGCAGCTGCAACGGCTGGTAGACTTGCACTTGTTCCCGCCGCCAGACGCGCCCGCACCGCGCTCACTCACCTTCCAGTTGGAGTCGGCAGACCCTGCAGAGCCACTTGACGAAAAGGGTCTCGTGGGCTATGCGCAAATATCCATTGTGGACTGAATCGCGCTTGCACTCGCTTGCCTTCCCGGGCCCTCGCACGCCCTCGCCAACCCCGGCCCGCCCTCACCGACTCGACTTTACTCGGCCTGTCTATGCTGGTCCTCACCACTGTCGCAGACCTTCACTTCGCGTTTGATGGACAATAATATTTCTTAGAGATAGCCGCGTCGTATACGCCGCCACTTTAGTACGTAGTGAATATCTATTTTAAGCTCTATATTCTGTTATATGCTTAGATACCTATATATATTATGGGTGGATATGGATTTTAGTTATATAGTTTTTAGCTCAAGAGGATGTATAATTTTACATGACGATAGGCTGAATCTGAATTTGTAATTATTTTTCCTGATTTTATATTAATATTGTGTTTAAGCATCTGCTTCATTGTATTGGAAACACTGTAATTTTATTATAAATTTGAATATACTATTTTGTGTCAAATTATCCACTTTATGAATGCCTCGCGTACATCTGTTCTTAATTATTTAAAGCATAAGTCAATATACAAATTTCAACCCAATCTGTCTTTAGAAAAAATAACTTTCATTCCGTAAATATTAAATCTAAATTTGAATTATCACCATAACCTTTTCACGCGGAAGCTCGGCGTAGGCGACATTCTTGAGTTTCATACACAATGCTGCGTATAATTAATCAGCCATATCTGTACCTCGCAATAACACAGCGGTGTCGTGTGAATGAACTCGCCTTTTTTAAAGTATATATCGTATACGATTGTAGAATGTTTATTATTTACTATGTAATCAACTGCGTGCCATAATAAAATGTCCTATAAAAGTACTCGCATGATGGAGCATATCTCGTAAATTTATTACAGTGTTGAATTTAAACAAGCAGATGTATGGAGCACTATACTTTTTATGTTGTTAATTGTTTGTTGCTTATTTTGGAAGGATTTTTTAAAACAATAAATAATAATGTAAAAATTATTCCGGCAGGATGTTTTATTAAAATCACTATGAATTTACTGTTACTTAAATCTACAAATGCAATTACTGATTGGTTTCAATTTTCAATGAGGTGGTTTTGGTAGTCGACAAGATTAATATGTAACAAGTTAAAAAAATAAGTACTTAGTAGGAAGAATATTATAAATTTCAAATTCTTAATCTCTTCCTTTATCTACCTTACTCGACTACAAAGGATTAAGAATATAAAACCCATTTCGTATCCACGACGACAAATAATCATTCAAGCAACTTTAAACCACAAAATAAGTCATTTGTGGTCGAAAATTATTCATTTTGTATTGGTTGATTTTGTCGCCCAAGACACGGTCTTACGCTAGAAACATTTGAAACATTATTGACAAAAAAATCATACAATTTATAACAATCAAACCAAACACTTATTCTTATAATTTGTATCAGGTACCTACCTGTACATAGCGCATATCCATAGCGATAAAATCTAACGATTGACTATGCTCCCATAGTCCAAAATGTTTCAATATCTATACTATTAGCTACTTGGTTTTGTTAGATTCTCTTGCTGTGAACACGCCAACAAGCTTATTCGCAAAATATATATATTTCTGTCTTAAGAAGTGTGGGTGCGCTATTTTAAAGCTTATTATCTGAGAAGTAAAATTACATTAGTAAATCTGTGTGTACGTCTACATCATATGTGTCTAGAACTTTAATGAGGTGCACCACGCATTCGAATAAAAAATCTTACGCTTAACTTACTAGACATTCTGTGAACAGATCAGGGGTAAACATACTTTCATAGCTACTTTTCACAAATAATAGTCGCTGGTTTACCCCCAATTGATATTAAAATCAATAAGAGCTGAAAATCTAAGTTGTTACGCTTACATAAACAAAGTTATATTTGAATACACATGACAAATTAATAGTGTATGTTAGTCATAATAGGCCATCAAGCTATAGTATTCATCAAACTGTACAAGTTTTCCCCAGATATATAGTGTCAATTTTATAAATTTACACTATATCATCACACAATCGGGTATTCTTTTAATACGAAGTTTTTTGCGTTTTAAATTCGTTTATAGTTATTAATATTGTTAAAGGGCTCTTAGCACGAATTTTTATGGTATAAGAGTCTAGAGCAGTGTTTCCCAACGCGGGCCCCACGCCCCACAGGGGGACAATTTGATTGTTAAGGGGGAAGTTACATAGAAAGATTGGGAAACACTGGTCTGGAGGTTCCGACTAAGTTGCCCTAGCTATGGTCAAGAGCTAGTTGGAATAGCGATGTCAATCCAATCCGATTATACTTCTTAAAGAAACATATTCCGCTTTATGAATACTATTACTGGACTTACACACCTACTATCTGTCACGACTATGAATGATTCGAGTAACGTAATTTGTATACTGGTATATATTTCAAAACCGTAAATAAAAAAATCAACACGAAACTGAATTTAACAATGCGTTCATACATATCAACAATAAATAATTAAATTATATATTTTTCGCACTGAGAAATTTCACTGCGCAGTTTTTATGGACATCGTATATATAATATACATATATATGCACTGCGTATAAAAACCAAAGTTTCCTATAAAATTCGCAGTGCAGATAAAGTTGGTCCTCCAATACAAAATGCTTAAGGCCTTTTCATTAGTTTCGGCAACACAAAATATCTTCAAAACAAATATTGAGAAACTACATACAGCATAACAAATATTTACTTCATATGTGTATATAAATTACGAATATTACTCATTGTAAGTCCGAACTGACGGTAGTTTTGACATATCATAAGAGTCTGTAATAGACCTTCATAAATAAAAAAATATGATACTTTGCAAAGTGCTAATACTTGTTTCAATTTATTTAAAATTAATGTTACTGTTTAGTTCGACGTTTCATTATAAGATTTAAGTATTTAAACTTGACTCTTAGCACTTTTGAGTGTAAAATTTTTAATGTGACTCTAACTTTTGTTACACATTGACATTTGTCTTATAATAAATATAATATAGTATATACTTATATTATTTGAATGTACAACATTGTTTACAAAGAACTATATCGTATGCTCAATAAACTGCATTGACTGCAAAATTACATATTTCGGATAACCACTTATATAGAAATTAATTTAAATTCGATTGTCCATAGTTCGTTATTTATGAATTAATGCAGTTTTGTATTGAGCCTGCAATATTTTCCAACATTCTGTTTAAGGATTTTAATAAAATACCCATAACTACATATCAATCTATGTACTTTCTTAGTATAATAATATTTTGCTAGCATAAGTATAAAATTATAACAAATCATATCATAAATAATATCTAAAATAAAACAACATTTTATAAAATATTTAAATGTGTTAGAATGTTTTGAACTCTCAGTAATATAATAATATCATGTTAACAATAAAATAATAATGTATTTAAATGTAAATGCATCTGAAGAATCGCTTATACAGTGACTAGGCATAAATAAACAAAGCGTTTTATTACTTACTCTATTTCACTCTCTCATTCTAATAAGGCCATCCACTCATTGCTTAAACATGCATAAAATAAACTATACGATTTTCAATGTAAACAAAAATGTTAAAGCGATAACACAATTTAACCTCTCTCTTGATAACAAAGAAAACATCTTATCTTACATACCAATTCCTTGCATAGGAAATAATTAATTATCTAAACATAAGATAACCCTTTGAACTAAAACTATGTAAAAATATATTCTATATTAAGTAACAGTTATATAAGTTAGTGAAGTTACAAGGTCAGTTCTAGCGCAGTTAATATAACTCTTGGACATTTTATATAAAATTATTTTTATATTATATAAAGCTTAATAAGATACCAAGAATGTATAATTTGAGTTAAACAATAAATAAAATGTAAATATTATGCTTGGCATTATTAATCACGGATTGCAAGCATATATGTATTTGAAAATGTATGTTTTAAAACAACTGGTTGGATGTAAAATAAAAATAACATATAATAAAAAAAGTTCCGATTTCCATTTTCAAATATAAATATAGTCTATTAAAAAATAAACTTAGTACAAAATAAACAACCATCACAATTCTTTATACTAACATTAAAGTGACTAGTTTTACCGAAATTCATATATGGCACATAATAATTGATTTAGTGCATTATTCGCCTTTATTAAAGTTGAATATAGATTAGCAAAAAAATTGTGCGTAAATAAAGCTTAAATTCTAAACATCTAGTTAACGTTTTGACGAGATTACAAGAAAAAAAATGCGTTAAATGTATATGGAAGACTAAAGCGTAATGTGGAATGTAAAAATAATAAAATAATCTAAATTTAAAGTAACAGATACATTTGTTAGTTATGAGATTACGATCATCACAGTGGTACCTAATTTTGTATTTGTGCATATATTATGCGTATTTAAACTATATATAGAAATTGGCCTCTGCTATAAAATATTCATTGTGCCTAGTTTGCATCAATAAATATTGTACGTATTGTCTATACTTATTAACATGCACGGGTGACATTTGTTATTCTGACAATTTCGACTTAATTTCCGAGTAGAAATAAAGTAAGGTGTGTGCACATGAATATCAGAAGAGATTTTTCATCGCAAAAAAATGTACTTCTTTTACAATGATTCTAAAAACACAGTAGTCGTTAACAAACACAAGAATCTTTAAAAAATGGAGGAATACTATGATCGCAATACAAAATAGCGGCCTATCGGTTTATCACACCGCCTTATTTCCGGTGGTCGCGGGTAGGATTCCTCCCTCGCATGATACAACCATTTGTATTTCTTAGTATGATTATTAGTCTGGGTGTTTTCTATGTATTGTTATCAAAAATGTAACTGTCTATTGGCTGTTCAATACCTATTGTACAAGCACTGTCTAGTTTGGCACTAGATGGCTTTATGTGAATCATCCGTGCATGCCTTTATAATTTACTTATAGTTGTGAAAATACTATTAAAACGTTGACCACAACTTATTGTGCAAGCAATGCATACAAGCTTAGAAATAAATTGTACTTTATGTTTATTAAAAATTGTAGAAGCGTATTTATGTTAGTGATTTGAACTAGTGCGTATCAATCTTTATGTTACAAAGAAGTCGCCGGCCAGAATAATAGAACGCCACGGTACGAAAATAAAGAGAATTTGTTTTATAATTAAGAACTTACTAGCTAGACAGTGGCGCTATTACGCTAGCCTCCGTCTCGTCGATCATATTACAATTCTCTATACTATAACACTAACGTATCTATCAAAAAAGTGCCCGAAAATTTGACACTTCGGAGTCGCAAAGGATATCCTCCTTATCTCGGCACATATCATTTTGAATAATTAAAAAATCACGTATTTTATCATTTTTGTTGCTTTTATAAAATTAAGTTCCTCTAAAATCAGGCGACAAGCTCGCAACCAGGCGAACGCCGCGGGCGGCATAGTATCGCGTCGAATCGATCGCTTTCGCGATTTCGCGGCATCTTCGAGGTGCCAATAGGTAGTACTCGACGGGCACCTGCGACGATCGGAATCAAAACAGCTCGACGACCTTCCGCCGGAGGTAGTCCTTGAGGGGCGCGTAGTAGTGGCGGCGCAGGGCGACCAGCTCGGGCTTGTGCTTGAGGGCGCGGAGGGGCGGCCAGTCCGTCTCGAACACCAGCACCGCCAGCAGCGCCAGCGACAGCCACACCAACACGAACGACGGCACGAATGCACGCACCAGGCTGAAAGGCCGCGGCGGCGGCTGCAGGGCCGGTGGCGCCCACTCCTCGGGGACTCCTCCAACTGCTCCCGCTACTCCTCCTCCGCCGCCGCTCGCGAGCGTGGCGCCCGACTCCGAGGACGAGTGCTCGAACGAATCCCGCAGACTGTACTCCCCCGCTGCAAATATATGTATATTTGCAGCGCTACATTAGTTTTCTAGTAAAGACTAACTGTGCTCGCGGTTTCACTCGCGTGAAATTGTTAGCCTATGCGTTATTCTGCTGTATGAGCTATATTATTACTGTAAAGTTTCATTAATATCTTTTCGGTAAGTTTTGCGTCAAGGATGGATAGATAACTAACTAGATGGTTAGTAATAACTAACTAAAAATAGTATCTATCCATCAATAGATATATCTACAAACCTGCACATTTATAATATTAGTAAGATTACTGCTTTTGCAAGGATAATATATGTATATCGTTGTGTAGTATCTCTAATATATAAAATTGTCTAGTCGCGGTGTTTGTTCGAGTCTCCTCTAAAACATTTGTAATGCTTGTTATGAAATGTCGTTACCTGGCGGCTTGGTCTCCTCCGCGACGGGCCGCAGGTGGTCGCAGCAGGCGAGCGCGATGTCGACGGCGGGCCCGGACAGCAGACAGCCGCCGTTGCAGTCGCCCGCGCTCTCCTCCAGCGGCGCGCTGTGCGTGGACCGCGGCAAGCTACTGTACCCTGAAAAGTACCACCACCATCACACGTTCGATTTAATACAATAACATATCGATTATTGAGCACAGATAAACAAAGAACGATAAGTACGCTACGAGAAAAATGTTGCTTCTGGGTCATCCGCAGGCTTTTAAGGGCCGGTGTGCATACTGGTGCGGTGAACCACGTCATTCTATAAAATGTTTTAGAAAGGTAGCCTTATCGCTATTACCAATGTGTTACAGACATCAGTACAGTCGGGTATTGAGTATTTATATAAAGAGAGAAGGTAGGAGGTGGTCATTGGACAATATATTTATTATACACTTACAGATAAACATACATTTTATAAGCATAAATAAATAATTTTATTAATATTTCCGAACAATTCATACAGGGCCAACTAGACCTAAGGTAAACAGAGCTTGTGTACTAGTACAAGTATTGATACAAACAGAAATACATTTCTTTTGTAAATACATACATAATATACATAGAAAACACTCAGATCGATACAAGGAATCATACTCATGAATAAAAGTAACATTTGTAACGTGCGAGAAATGCAACCCGCGACCATCGAACTTTATTATGTACGACATTTTAAATTATTTCTTTTAACTTACCGAAATCACTCGTCATAGGTGTTGAAGGTGTAGCCGGTACGCTCGATGCTTTTCTTTTGCCACCTGTACTCGAACCCTCTTCCTACCAACAAAATAGACTAATTAATTAAGAGATGAAAATTATTATTAATATAAGGACGGTAACTAAAAAGAAATATTTATTATAAAGTTGTTTATAATACATATGACTAAGATATGTTCTTCATTATTATAAAACCAAATTAGTTCCTCTCAAATCGACCTGCTTTACTAGTATAGTATTGGATTGGAAATTAAACACTGAGCCTACGCTCGAACTTGCGTGCCAGCAGACAAAAATCAATCTATCTGGCAAGAGTGAGTATTCAGCTGCTCCAATAAGTGTTTCTGCGGTCTATGAAGTGTTTCCGCGGACTATTAAGGGGGTCTTCCTATGTGATGGGTTGAAAAAATCGATTTTTTTTTTTTCATAAATTGCTCCCTTAACATGTCTAGAATACGGTAGTAAAGCGATTTTAGAAAATTCGAAGTCGTTTTAAAGATACAGCAGGTAAAAGAAAGAGCGGTTCGGAGCGGTGAGTTGGCAGTTAGAGACCGGGCCTATTGTGTACCGACGGCTTTATACCTGGCCTCCCTTTTATTAATATATTTGTTTATACAAGTTTAGACACGTTTCTACAGACTTAAACAGAAAAGGAGCAGGTAAACTTACTGATAAAGTTATCCAAGAAATTACAAAATTCTACGGATTAGCAATTCGACGCCATCCAGATTCGCTTGAAGATATGAGAAAGGAAGTTTGGGCAACGTACTATCACAAATGTTCTTTTGATGAAAACCCTCAGCATCAATTTTGTCCAGAAGGCGAAGACAGTTGGTGTAAATGGCGTAAGGCTGAAGCTAATAATGAACTGGACCAATTTCATCACGATAAACCACCTCTAATTCCGCAAGTCCAAGAAGCTATCAAACCGGTTTTCGAAGATTTATCGAAAGACGAATTATTAATTCGTTGTTTAGGAGCAGAGACACAAAACAATAACGAATCTTTGAATTCTTTGATTTGGACTTTCGCTCATAAACATCTTCATTCTGGTCCCAAAGTTGTTGAAATTGCTAGCTACTTAGCAGTTATTATCTTTAATGAAGGTTTTCAAGGTATTTTAAAAGTTATGTCGATTATGGGATGCCCTGTTGGTCGTGAAGCCCAAGCGTATGTTGAGAAACGGGATGAAAAGCGAATCTTACGCTCTGAGCGGCGCGTAAGTGATGTCGTTAAACAAGCCAGGATTGACTCAAGAGCTGAACAATCTGCTTTAAAAGCGTTTCACGAGGAAGAGGAAGGAATACTCTATGGACCAGGCATCGCCGATTGAGAGTAAGTTGATATTTTAATAGTTTTTAACGGACTTGAAACTTTAAACGCGTTTTTCTCAAAACTGTGTTTTTCAAACTTTCCTCCATTGTATCTCAGAAACGGCTGGACCGAATTACTTGAAATTTACAGGGCACACTCAATATATGTAAACGCATGGAATGAACTATTATCAATCGAAAATTTTCAAAACTTCGATTTTTTTATAGCAAAAAAAAAACGCCTAATTTGCAACTTTTATTTCAAATGTCTATCAAAAATCCAATTTTTTTTATATTCATTTGATTATAGGTCATTCCGTGCTTTTAAGCCTACAAATTAAAACGCCGTTTTTTTTTTTTTCAGATAAGCCGATCAGCCGGAATCGTGGAGGAAGTGGGAGCTCTTTTTTTCGAGGCGGGGGTGTTCAGAGCGCTGTAACTCTAGTTTGACTGAATATTTTTAGCTGAAATTTTATATTTATACTGTCCAAATATGTGTTAATAAATGATAAAAAACTTGAAGCTCTAAATATTTACTGGTCGTAGAAAAAAAATCCTAAAATATCCCTAAAAAACAGGCCGTCACATAGGAAGACCCCCTTAAGTGTCTTCTCGCCCCTATTTTTATATTTTCAACAGAAGCTGTAGACCGGCAGCGATTAATTTATTCTATTAAATTTATTCTAATAGACATTGTACATAGAACCTATTTATATATAGACCAGTTAATTCTATAAGATATTGTAGAAATCATACATACATGCGCGTCTCTGGGTGCGAGTAGTCCGTCCCGCTCCAGTATCTCCCGCTCGGTTCGACCCACATACTTGAATTTGGTGCCCCATGAGAATAGCCCCCCACTGGAATACACGGACGCCTCCGACGACGATGGCAGCCTGTGTATACGTCATCACTTTTAAACTTAGTTATTTAAGCTTAATAGACCAATTAATTATTATACATTTGCCAATCCATTTGTATAAAATAATATATATTGTGTTATAGCTAATACTCACGTGAAAAACAACATCTGCTCAATAGCACAACACCAGACATGCCGGCAGGACGCTCCACTCGGACATTTGAACCCCACTGTATGCTTTTTCTGCAATCACATACAGTCAACCCTCCTATAACGCGGTACTCTCAGAACGCGGTTTCCATATAACGCGGAGCTAAAATTGCGACAGCCCTCCTATAACGCGGTACTCTTACAGCGCGGTTTCCGTTCAACAACGTCCCATCAGTTCTTTCCGTGCACCCAATGAATGGTTTTAACTGGATATGTTTATATCAGCGTGGTTCACGGGTGGGGCTCCTCATGCGCTATCTTCCACTTCTATTAACTAAATAGTTTCGCATCGACAGCGTGTCTAACGAAACTGTAACATGCAAGTTATATATGTGATCTTTTGACTACATTGTCGCGTGAACTATAGAAAAACTACGTTCTGCTTATGTCTTAGCCGCTTAAAACCAATGTGAAGATCAACCAAGTGAGGAAGACATTTTGCCCATTAAAAGAAGGCGAGTTAGGCGACTCATATCTGACAGTGAGGATGAGTGTTGAAAGATTACATCATTTTACAAAAGTCTTTCTTTTGTTTTTGTTGGAAAACAGTTTTTAGTTTAGTTTTTGTTTCATTTTTTTCATCATTTCCTTATTTTTATTGAATTGAAGAGTTCATACTCTTCAATTTAATAAAAATAATTTATAATTTATCTTGTCTTTTGTATTTATTGGTCTCCATATAACGCGATACGAATGATGTGATTTGTACTTATTCTGAGTCTCTTATAGCGCGGTTTCCATACAACGCGGTACGCACTCACCGCGTTATAGGAGGGTTGACTGTATTCTATTTTTCCTCAATGTGTCACTAGTTTTCATATACAGAATGTCGTAAGAGACAACAATGAGAATAAAGAACATAACGCCTAGAAAAAGAAAACTCAAAATTAAACCCTATCTCAAGCCACAAACGGCTAGCAAGCATAGACTTGAGCCCAGCAATGGGATCGTAATAAGTTGTAATGATAATTATGATATCTTTTCAAAACAGTTTCACACTGATATTCAGGCTGTAGTTATAGATTTTATGAATGAGGGGATTTTTTAAATAATGAAAAAGTTCTATAGTATTATTACCTACAATATAGCGTACTCAATATGCAAAGGTACACCCAAAATGTCAATAGATTTTAATTCTACAGTTATATATGCCTGCATACACTACATATGTTTAAATGAAATATTGTACATAAAATATTGCAAACAATCATTAACTAAAAAGTAAATAAACCCTTCATAATCATTACCAAGACTTACACAAAATAAAAAATTAAATATTACTCACTTCTGGATAATTAAGGTGTACAATGAACATTCGCCCTTCGAAATTGATTTTGTGCACTTCAGACCATTTGAAATGATGCGTTTTTCTACTGCCCTGGAAGGTCAGGATGCCGCTATGATTGATACCCAGGTACAATTGATTCCCTCTGTGGTCCTGCAACAGTTTTTCATTTTTTAGCTGACTACAGCGAAGCAGAAAGCAGGAATAAATTCAAAAACTGAAGCACTACTATAAAATAAGTAACAAGAAATATTATCTTCTGAATTTTTTTTTATTCTGTATTTTTATGCAGATCGTTCATAAAGAGAAATATACATTTTCTTACTCAAGTAGCTATTATATTTACTTATGTCCATTTTGCTATTTGGAACTATGCATACACACAAAATTTTAAATACATACACACAATACATATGTAATGCTAAACGACATTTATTGAAAAGAGATTTATGCAAGTTTTGTGCTCATTCTTCTTATAATGAATCTGCTTTCTGAATGAGCTGTACAATCACCAAAATATTATATAACTATTCAAAAGTGTTTACATTAAGTTTGTTTGAACAAAGATTATTTCATAGTAAAGGTATATTCACCTTCACAGGATGCGGATCCACTCCATAGGTATCCAATTGACAGGCAATTTTCAGAAACGACCGCTCAGCTTCTTGTGTGGACATGCCCTTGACGCCACCAGTGCCACCTGGTGTACCTTCAACTGGCTCTCTGTGCAGCTCCTGTATATAGAAAATATATGTAACACATAATACATCAACACAAATACAGATTACAGTATTTGGTATGCCATAAAATAATAAATAACCCTGGACAATTAACACAGTACCATCTAGTCCCACGGTAAGCAGAGCTTGTGTTATGGGACTTATAGGTACTAGACAACTTATTACAATACTAGCTATCCATCCCATCTCTGCAGGGATGCATTTTTTTTTTCATTTCACATTTTTTCTATATTATAATAATATCTCAGAACAACTTACACACTGCCAACTAGTCACAAGGTAAGCAGAGCTAGGGTTATAAGTACTAGATAACTGATACAAATACATTTTTTTATTATAAATACATACATAATATACATAGAAAACACCCAGACCGATAAAAATATTACAAACTATCATACTCATGAATACCGTGCGAGGAACCGAACCCGCGACCTTCTCAAGTAAATCGGTGTGGTAAACCACCCACTGAGGCCATCATTTTGTTTCATTATTTCAGTTAAGTGTATTCTATCCAAACCTTAAAAGCCTATAGCAAAAACCAGAACCAATGACATTATTTACAATTTACCTATCTAAATTAATAAATACCTGTATTCTAGCTTCTATGACATCAGTTTGTCTTAGTAACAGTCTCATTTCTGTGACGTAATTACCAACGTGAATACTAGGGTCGTAATCTCCCAACTCAACTGAAAATAAGTTTGATATATCTTATTAATATTATAAAAGTGAAAGTTTGTGACTATGGATGTTACTATTTCACGCAAAAACTACTGAACGGATTTGATGAAACTTTAGAGTAATATAGATTATACATCAGAATAACATAGGTTATAAAATAATACATATTTGCCTTCACGACATTTTTTTTTATGGATAATGGAATGCTACATCCTCTCCTAAATGGTATACGCTAGACTTGTGCACGCAACTTCATCCGCGTAACTGACGAAATAAAATGTAGTCCATTTTTTTTATACTAATGTAGTAATTCATAATAGTCTATACTCTATACCAAGTTTTACGGAAGTGAAACACTTTGGTGCTTATAAAATTAAATACTTGGCTATTAGGTACATAGGAACCATACAGATAATACTAAAAATGGAGATAATATGATAGACTTATTAATATACATACTCTGTATAGTGAGAGCTCCCAACATGGCCGCCTCATTGGCCGTGCAGTACAGCCTGCCATGTAGCAGGTCTCTTTTTAATTGTAGATATATTTGAAACCTAGTCACATCCTCCTTTAGCAGCAGCGGATTTGGTGGATAGAATTTCACACGGAAACTGAATAGTATTGGTGACGCATCTGTAATAAATGAAATATGTATATACAGTCAAGAATAGATAGTAGAAAAGAAAAGGTATATGTAATATATGTCTGAGAAACTTGTAATGTAGTGAAGAATCTGTGAAACTTGCATTCATATTATGACAATAAATGAATATTGATTGTAATATGGCTATTAACCTATAGCTTGATATTGTCAAAACCTGATTCACCCATAGGCAGAGTAGGCAACTGTCTAAGGCCCTTGTGAAAATTGTGCATTCATTTCGAGATTCAACTACAATTAGTATTGAATTATTGTTTTTTTTTCAACTGAGGCTGTCAGTTGATGAAATACTTGATACTTAATAATATGGATGGACTTTATTCACATCCCCTTCAATTTGACAAAAGCTGATAAATATTTTATACTCTTTTTCAATACATTCTTTAAAAAGGAACACATAAATTGCTATTTCTAAGGACTTAAACATGGTAAATCCAGCCCTGGATACACCCATCATCTATCTGTTATTTAATTTATTATTTGAATGTGATCATAGTCAGGAGCAAATTCTTCTAATATACACAGAGACAATACTGTGTTATTAAAGATCTCATTAGTTATTTAATTGTCTTAACATTTTAAGATTATATTGAATTTATTCAATCATAATCATATCAGTCACTAACATTTCTCTAACTGCAAATTGTCCCTCAGCAAAAGGCAATACAGTGACTTTTACAAGTTCTTCCAAAGTGATTAATAATGTACTTGTACATGATACATACCTTTTACTTGTTTAAGTATCAACTTTGCCATATGCAGCCAGTGCTGAAAATAAAATGTATGAACATCAATCAATATAATATTATCTAGACATTTGATGGGTGATAAAAGGATTTAACATATATATGTTGTCTGTGATTAAGTATTTGTACTATAGTTGATGTAAATGCTTTACAATAGCTTTAATATATGCACAAATAACATTACTAATGTAATAAATTTGTTTAACAATTTGTTTGCATAAGTAGTATCGAAGGAAACTTTTATTGACTAAAATAAAGATGTTTCAACACTATCATACAATACCAGCTATTAATAGGTGATTGTGATGTATAAACTGTTATAATAATATTATTTTATTTACCATTAAAAGGAAATTGATGTAATGAATGGTATATTTTATTATTAATCACAACACTCTCGACCATGCATACACTTTTGTCACTATATTTGTAAAGTGTGGTAAATTTAATTTCAAAATAATAGTTTTAATATGACAGTCTGGTTTAGCACTTTTTTACAAAGGTTCAATTCCTCACATTTATAGAATATTTATATTTTTATATTATTACTACCAGCTGTACCAGTGACTTTGTCTATGTGGTGTTTTTGTTTTTCTAAAATAAAAGTAGCCTCAGTTACTCCTTATTATATCAGCTATCTGCCAAAGAAAAAGACCCATCAAAATCGGTCTAGCTATTTCAGAGATAAGCTGGAACAAACACCGGACAGACAAAAATTGTAAAAAATAATATTTTGGTGTATTTACCATATTTATATTCATAGGCATGGAGTAAATAATCAGTTATTTCAATGTTACAAACAGACACTCCAATTTTATTTATCTGTATAGATGTAGAGCTAAACAAATTAATAATAATAATAATATCATATATTCTGATAATTGGAACAGCCAACTTAGGTAATAATAAAATATATTTGAAAAATTCAAAATAACAGCTTCTTTATCTTTATAAGCAAAGATATAAAAGAAATATCACTCACCCTCTGACCCCCAGCATCCACATACCGCAAACCAAAATAATCTGTCTCAGTGAGGTTGAGTTGCTGACATACATATTCCAGGAGATATTTGCCTTTATAACTGGGCTGAAAAATAAATAATTCAATATAAAATATATATCCATAATCTATGACATGAAAAATATAATGTGAATAGTAATTATTTAAATAGGTATCTTTATTTCTACTTAGATTGGACTGTGAAACAATGTGGTATATAATATATATGTAAAGTAAATATAAATAATTATTATTTTATTGGACCTGTTGATTTATACTTAGAACTCTGGCACTCTTTGGAATAGTATTACTTGTATAAAATCCTTGTACAGCTGCCCAAATGAGAGGCTAGATGCACAAACAAAGCCGAACATACAATTGTATAGAATCTGTTGCTTCCAAAGGTCAGTTAATCAAAATGAGTAATTCTACAAAGTATTTTTTTACAGTATAAATATTATACCTATATTCATTATTTATATTTACATACTGAACATTTGTATCCATGTAGATGTTTACATATTTATGAAAAAATGTATATTTAAGAATTTATATCAGTTGTCTAGTACCCCACAATACAAGCTCTGCTTAGCATGGGACTAGTACTGCTGTGTGAATTGTCCAAGGATATTATTATTATTACATAAATTCTTCATTTATATAAAAGTTTTAAAGTAGATTTTTGTAATGTTGAAGAGATTATTAAATAATCTTATGAAATCAACAATTCTTAAAAACATGATGCGTTGATAAGAATCAAAGGTTTCATCTACACATGATTATTCACTCCAGGTGGTTTATGTAACAAGGACAGTCAAAACAAACATAATTTAAAAAGAAAAAGTTAATTACACAAGTCACTGAAATATGTACGAATTACTTGACATTTAACTCACATGTGAAATGTGAATGTGAAGAATCTGTAAGCTCTATTTTTAACTGATGATAACTACTATAAACAAATTAAACATTACTTATTTAAACAATAACTACTAAGCGGCGGAATTTAAATTAAAGTCTACGGGTACCAAACTTAAAATCTGACTGGTTGAGTGTTTCCAATTGACTATATTAATCATCGTGTCATACTAGAGAAAACAATAAAATATTACGGTGCATAATGTAATATATACCCGAAATATTAGGAATAAATTTTGACGTATAATTAAATCGGAGAGATACAAGAACTATAATGTAACAAATAACCATAATATCGTGTATACAAATTGTCAAATATTTTATTGAATGATAAAAAACATCAAAATTTGTTTATTTTAACTGTAAACTGCAGTACTCACATGGAACTCGCATTCTAATATCTCCGTATCTTCTAAAAGTCGCACTGTGCATTTATAAACAATATCGCCTCGGCTTTTAAACATCATTAAAATTTTGTTATTAATTCTCTAAACGAAAATAATAATTTACCTACTATTTAGTCATTTCTCTTAATAACCCTATAGAATACTATTTATTTTATGTATAAATAAATAAATAATTTAATTATTTGTGATATCATTTGTTTCGGATTTCGATTTCGAAAATGGAATTTGGGTGGGGTGGTGCGGTACGGGGGGAAGTTTTGACATTTTCCCTTCGTTCAAAAATATGTAGTAATTAAATTAAATTACTCGTTCATTATCGAAAACGGATTTATATAAAACAATTCATAGACTTATTTAATTCAATTAATTATAATAATTACAATTGAAGTGTAATAGGATATAAATGAATTGATAGCCATATGGAATCTTTTTATTATATGTAATGATTTATACAACAGAAATGTTCACGATAAAACGAATTCAACAATAAAATTTAATAACAATTTCATGACTATTATTACAATCTTTACTTTAAAACTTTTATGCAAATAATAGGATTAATAAATTATATACCTATGACAAAACTTGTGTAATAATGCGTCATCACTTCCGATTTGATACATCATCAACGACTTCATGCATTAAGTCCAATATTCACAGTGAATACATAAACATTCCGAGGAGGAACAGAAACTAACGTTGTAATGTATTACGCTAAATTAAAATTTTGAAAATTCAAATTGCAGTGATTTTACTACAAGTGAAATAGTTACATGCAGTAATTTTATATATGGGTGGCATTTTCGAGATAAAGTATATTTAGCAATGGTCTTTAGCGATTCCATGAAATTCATTTGTAAGCTGAATTTTATCAGAAAATTAAAATTAACACTGTAGGCATAAAAAAATTGATGATAATGATAAGAAAATATCTTTAATATCTGTGGTATGGAATGTAGAAGTCTGTGGTAAACATTTACTTTATGATCCAATACGTTGATAGGTTGTCTATGAGATATCAAATAAGAAAATTACTGGCTGACGTCCCATCCGGTCTAATGTTGCTAGTGTAAAGAATATTTTATATTTGTAGGGAAAATTTTAGGTGACCAAGTTCGAATCGATCCATTAAAAAATTACTGGATATAATAGTACGACAACATTCTGTTCCTTATAATATACAAATTCATAATTCAAATATACAACAATTTTTTTTATTCTCTTAATTTTTATGTATTAATTCGAAATATAACCGTAAAAAAATATATATCAATATTTTGCTTTCTTCTATCTTTTTAATATTAAAGTAATATTGAGAATATGCAATTATCGACGCACAATTACCTCAAAAATATTCTTACTTCATTTGAACAAAATAATGATGTTTATAATGAGAATTCAATAACAGCTTTGGTCATTCTAACATAACCATTGATGAATCATGCGAAAAGAGAATTGCGGAAACAAATATTTTATTAAACAGAGGCAGGAATAAAATTGGATTAGATTCGAGACATTTTAAAATAGTTTGCTTTGTATAAACATAAAAATAAGCATACCCTCAAAATTGTTATCTCATTTTCAGTTGGAGTATTACTTATTTGATCAGATAGATAATTTATTTGATTTAACATTTACAGTGTTAGGAACAAATGTTCGCCTAATATTTAGAAAGCATGCAAAACTAAATAGACCACACTGTATTGGTTTAGAAACACCCCAATTAAATTAATTCAGATTAAATATGTTATTATGTAATAAACTTCGACTAGTTAGTGCCCGTGTCAGCTGGGATGTTGTGGTGAACGCAACACTTGACATGCTCAGAGATCATTAGTATATTCCGAATGCAATATGGCTGGTAATAAGCTTAACAAATTTTTGATTTCATACAGCTGTTTTTTTTACCAGATAATCTACATATCTATACATATAAATAAAATTGGAGTGTCTGTTTGTAATATTGAAAAAACCGTCTTTTACTACATGCATATAAATATAAATACAGTACATGCACCAAAATAACATTTTTTACAATTTTGGTCTGTCTGTCTGTCTGTTTGTTCCGGCTAATATCTGAAATGGCTGCACCGATTTCGACGGGACTTTTTTGGCAGGTAGCTGATGTAATAAGGACTAACTTAGGTTACTTTTATTTTAGAACAACTAATTTAAATTAACTATTTAATTAAGAAAATAAAGTTAAATTGGTGATGAAAGTTAAATTCCACGCGGACAAGGACGAAGACGCGATGTTCAGCTAGTCAGAAATCTATCTCACATTATTTTTCTTTTTGGTATCAGCCAAATTTTATCTTGGAACCTCTTGGGACATAAAACTCCTTTGTTATATTGACATATAATTTGTGTATAAAAAGAGAAAACATAATAAAAAAAACGACTGCGAATAAAATGGTGTTTCTTTATTTGCCCTCTGCATAAATAAAATCCCAATATAATTTAGGGTAGTAAACCACTAGAAACAACGCTATTAAAAATAAATGTAGGACAAAAATTATGTGGGAACCTATCCCTACAAAATTTTACTTAATCTTTATCGGTTTTTATAAAGAATTTTAGAATTAATAAGAATCATCATAACTATAATTCTAATTGTTTTAACTTATATTGGACAAATCTGCCTATTTATTTAAGAAATATATTTTGCAGATTAATACCTATTCCTATTATTATTACCTATTATTTTAAATTAAAATTAATTTACAATTATAAAGTTTCAGTTTTGATATGTATTAATTGTTATTTGGATTAAAATGTTCACACCCAATTAAAAATATATAAAATGTAGAAAAATGAAATTGCAATTTACAATACGTGGCATCAAATGATGGTGAATGGGTAATAAAAATATAGTATAGCCACACTGAGTACCGGATGTGAGTGTCCTACTTCCAGCTGAAAGAAAAACCATTTCTCGTCCATTCTGTTGGAGTCTTTCTCGGATATTACACGTCGATTGTAATCCGTGGTGAGTGTCGAAAGATATTAAGTGCAGTGTGAAAAAGTGAATTTAGTTATAATTGAATAGTTTTTAGCGTGTTAGTATTATAGTTTTAACATAATAATGTTTTCTCAATCTTTGTTATTGTGGTGTAATATTATCAGACTTGAAATATTAATGTTAACTATTAAAATTGAACACTAATAGTAATTTAATTAGTTTTAGCATTTGATTCCATTAATTCATTCATAGTGCCTTCGAAAAATATTCCAATTTCGAAGTACCACGAGATGCTTACGCGTCACACGGTGCACAGGCCGGCTCATTGCTCAGTCACTACCACGTGGTTTTAGGACTTCTTGTTTTCCATATTTCTGTAGAAATATTCTGTATTCAATGTCAGTACTTTGTTTAATATCTTATTTCTTGTGTTATTTCTATAATTCGTCTTAATTTTCCACGCATTCACCGTAATGGCTGACATCCATTGTGAAATGTCAAGATAGGGCGAGGCGGCCATGCGGCCGCCATATTGCCGGCCGCACTGTACATGAGGCTGCATCGACCTTGCGGATGCCGGTCCCATCTCAATAAACATTACGATTACAACAACAATCTAATATTTTGCTTTATTTTGTTCTAGACTAACCAAAAATGGGCAAGGAAAAGATTCACATCAACATTGTCGTCATTGGACACGTCGACTCCGGCAAGTCCACAACCACCGGTCACTTGATCTACAAATGTGGTGGTATCGACAAACGTACCATCGAGAAGTTCGAGAAGGAGGCCCAGGAAATGGGTAAGGGTTCTTTCAAATACGCCTGGGTATTAGACAAACTTAAGGCAGAGCGTGAACGTGGTATCACCATCGATATCGCCTTGTGGAAATTCGAGACCAGCAAATACTATGTCACCATCATCGATGCCCCCGGACACAGAGATTTCATTAAGAACATGATCACGGGGACATCTCAAGCTGACTGCGCTGTATTGATCGTCGCTGCCGGTACTGGTGAGTTCGAAGCTGGTATCTCTAAAAATGGACAGACCCGTGAGCACGCCCTTCTCGCCTTCACTCTTGGTGTCAAGCAGCTGATCGTTGGAGTCAACAAAATGGACTCCACTGAGCCCCCATACAATGAAGGCCGTTTTGAGGAAATCAAGAAAGAAGTATCCTCCTACATCAAGAAAATCGGTTACAACCCAGCTGCTGTTGCTTTCGTACCCATTTCTGGCTGGCACGGAGACAACATGCTGGAGCCATCTACCAAAATGCCCTGGTTCAAGGGATGGAATGTCGAGCGTAAAGAGGGCAAGGCTGAAGGAAAGTGCCTCATTGAGGCTCTGGATGCCATCTTACCCCCAGCTCGCCCTACAGACAAGCCCCTTCGTCTGCCCCTCCAGGACGTCTACAAAATTGGTGGTATCGGAACAGTGCCTGTGGGCAGAGTTGAAACTGGTATTCTTAAGCCTGGTACCATTGTTGTTTTCGCACCTGCCAACATTACTACTGAAGTTAAGTCTGTGGAGATGCACCACGAAGCCCTGCAAGAGGCAGTGCCTGGTGACAATGTTGGTTTCAACGTAAAGAACGTCTCCGTAAAAGAGTTGCGTCGTGGATATGTTGCTGGTGACTCTAAAAACAACCCCCCCAAGGGTGCTGCAGACTTCACTGCACAAGTTATTGTGCTAAACCACCCTGGACAAATCTCAAACGGATACACACCAGTTCTCGATTGCCACACAGCCCACATAGCTTGCAAATTCGCAGAAATAAAAGAAAAGGTTGACCGTCGTACTGGCAAATCCACTGAAGATAACCCTAAATCTATTAAGTCTGGTGATGCTGCTATTGTTAACCTAGTTCCATCCAAACCACTGTGTGTGGAATCTTTCCAAGAGTTCCCACCCCTCGGTCGTTTTGCTGTCCGTGACATGAGGCAAACAGTTGCTGTAGGCGTCATCAAGGCTGTTAACTTCAAGGAAGCTGGTGGCGGTAAGGTCACCAAAGCCGCCGAAAAGGCCACCAAGGGCAAGAAGTAGCTAGCACTGTTAACAGCACAGTTTTTCATTCAACTGCGATACTTCATTCACCGAAAGGTGTTCAGAAGGAAAAAGGGCTACATCTCATTCCTTTTCTATATTTTTTACAAGGCTTATACTGTAATGTAACATTATTTTATAATTTATAAGGTTATACATATTATATCTGAAATATTTTGTTACGACTGCAACTAAAATGTAAATTCATAGAATAAACGTAGCCTCCAGTGATAAACAAATATTTTTATTTCACCTTTTTAGTACCTACTTATTATTATACAAATATTTTCCAAGTAACTGAAATTGCAAACTATCTGACGGCCTGTCTGATGGTAAATGGTAACTGTCGCCTATAAGCATGTATGAATGAACATCGTTCTATGATATCATACATTCATTGCTATTCTGGTGGACTAGACGTGTTAGTCATATCAATGCCTATCCTAACACCTCAACTGAAACATCTTACAAGGCTACCCATATTGATGACTTCTAGAAAAGTCAATTTGGGTCATGAAATGTCACAGTTAATACATGTTTTATTTAGAAAAACCTATTGGTTTTTATAACTATTGGAATACATAATTGATACAATACCCAGATTCAGATACTATCTGAATATTTCTACATATTTTTATTATTTACCATAGGAATCGCAACCAAAAACTCCCAATGTATATTTGGTAAAATTACACGCGTTTAGCATTGCAACAATTATTGAAACATGTCCACGTCTACAGACAACACTACTAATACGATAATTGCAATTTTGTGAGCATGTTTGTTAATTCATATAGTACTGAAACGCTTCCAATATAATTTGGTACATAGACATTATGTATTAACTGAATTATTTCTATTTCCTTTTAAATTGCTACTCAACATAATCATTAAACCTAGTAAATCTACTTTTTTCTCAGACAATAGCAAACGTATCACCTTCACCTATAAACATTTCTATAACTACAGACTTCACAAAATACAAGTATATATCCTAAGTACCTACTACAATTTTATTACTTTCCCCAGTAACATTAGTCACATTTCACCCTCCCTTTAAACGCTTATACAATTTATAGAAATACTCTAGACAGGCCTACCTACCTGTACAGACGAGTCTGGATACAGTACTAACATATTACACAGGATCAATAAATGCGTCTGCAGGCTGTGTATTTGGTTCGACTAGTCGCGAAAGCGAGACAATGGAGATTTAATCCGCGTTTGTAAGCGAAGGGTAAACTGCATTGAATTGGAGCTTACATACAAAAATATGTACGTAGATATAGGATGTTTCGTATTTTTCTATTGATTTGTCTACTAGAGGCTTTAGTGAGAGTGGTTACTAGACTACTATAGGAATTTATAGTAGAGGGAAATACATTGGAAGCGTATAAGTTCGTGACACACGTTCTGATACTACTAAGAGTTAATGATCTTGAAATATGCAACTTAATAGACCCCTTGTTCTCAGCATCCTGTTCCGTCCTTAGGATTTTAATTTCTATAGACAAAATTTTACAAGTTAAAACATTTACCTAGCTTGTGAAATTTTGACTCCACGTTGCCTTAGCCGGTATAATTCAATAAAGATATAGAAGTTACTTTATCAATATAAAATTTATTGTTTAGGTATTTAATATTCGCTAAAATATTAAAATAATCCCTGATATTATAACAATTGTAATCTGTCAATATTGTTATCTACGCTAATAATAAATAATAATCCCAATATATATACGAAAGTAAGTTGGTCTGTTGGTAACCCTGACTAAAACAATCATGTGTATTGTATACCTCAGTATACATTTGGGATAGAGAATTACAGGTAGTATGGTTATTTTTATCCCCGTCAATAAGGTCTATTAAGTTTTCTAAGTCGCGAGCAAAAGCTAGTATTTATAATTGTGTAAAAGGTAAGAGATCATAGGAGATAATATTCAATACTAACTAGGTACATTCGAATGATTAATATTACTTTTGCGATACTGTGTCTTTATCTCCATGTTTCAATCTATATCAAAATCGATGCAACAGAGTTACTTTCACAATTAGAATAATTTATTTTATAATATTAGTAGGTACATATTGACTAATGTTGTATAATATTCTTCCATGTGGGCGAAACCGTGACCACAGCTAGTGTTGATAAATTTTGATAAGTAACATAAATGACTCCCTATTAAAATCCATTATCACAAAATATCTCAACTACACCCAGTTACTAATTTCCTTATAAGCGCGAAATTTTGTAATCAAAGATTGATGTTTAGTCACTAACTCACTACTGATTGTGTGAAATAATACTTTTTCGGTTCGAATAAAATTTGGTGCAAAGATAGATCATACTCAAAATTAATATATAGAATACATTTTACATAAATTCATGTAGGTAATACCGCGGGATACATCTTATTTAGCATACCTAGTTATAATTACAGGGTGTACAATAAATCAGGTTACAAAACGTAGGAGCGCTTTTATTTTAAATTAATGATAAGTCAGTCTAATTCACACTATGCCGTCAAATCCCAAGCTAGGCCCAGCTTGTATTTGGTTATAGCTACTATACAACTGCCAGAAATACTTATTTAGGTACATTTTTTTTGTTCATACAAATACATAGATAACACTCTGATGTTGTAGAGATGTCGTAATCATGTACTAGACTCCCCTACCCCCCCATGTCATCCAAAATAAGCAAAGTAAAGACCTCCCCACACCCCACCGCCCCTTAGTGCTTACGTAATACTTAAACGCCCCCTAAGATGAGCATGAGGTCAGGTCAGTTAGCCCATCGTGGCAAACCTACCAGGCGTTTATCAACAGACAACAGAGGTCAACCTGACATGGTACATTGTTAATAATAGGTTCATTAGTCCACATTACTAACAATCCACTTCCCTCCTAATACTGAACTACCAATACTGTGGTATGAAAAAAAATGTATAAATGTGAAAGTGTGTATCCGTTTATTACCTTTTCACCATAAAACGATTGAACTGGTTTTAATGATTTTCGACGTGAAGTTAAATTATATTACGAGGACAGAGAGGCATATCTTTTACCTCAGAAGAAACTGGCGATACCGCAGTTAGTTTTATATAAAGAATTATACCACAGATAACAATATTACATAATTATATTAAACCACCGAAAAGGAAAATAATACATAATAAATAGAAATAGGTATATTAGTTTTTAGGGCAATATGAGGATATGGTGGATGCATGAAACACGAGCATAGGAAAAATAATTAATTTCTATTCATTCACAAGCAATCAAAATACCTATGTAAAAACTTTTGTATATTGTAATAATGTAGTTTAGTAATTTTAAGAATCTTTTCTAAGACTTTTTTAAAATTATAGTTGTGAGAAGGTACACAACTGTTCAGAACTTTGTCATAATATCGTAACAAAAGACACATAAAGTTAAGCCTGCATCACAAGCGTGACAACGGAACACAAAGGGATAACAACGATATCATATGTTAATGTATAATCTACCTCGTTGTGTAGGTGAAAGTGGAACAATCAGCGTCCGTCCGACGAGATGATTGTGAATACCCAGTTACTAGTATTATATAGTGAGCGAGCGAGGGAATGCTTCTATAATTACTACTACACACACTTGGTGAATGCAGCGAATGGCTGCCTCAATAGTTAGATACAAATTATTGAAAAAAATAGTGTCCAATAATATTATCTTTAGATAGTACCTATAAAATGTCGCCGATGCTCTCTGATCTTTTAAATTACGCAATGGGTTTTCAGCAATAGATAGAGTGATTCAAGGGGAAGGTTTATATGTAATACATGTTTATTATAGCATAGAACGAGCCGAGAAATTTAAAGATTTGTAATACATCTAGGACGTGTGCGAAGCCGGGACGAATCTCTAGTTATCAATATCACAAATCAAAGAAGTATGTTTTTACTGTGATTAATATAATTTAATGTAATAAAAAACTTAATTATTTTGTAATATACATATAATAAAAATGTTGTGACATCGTTCAAAGTTTGAATCATGTGTTTTTGAACTTGTAACGCAAACACATCAATTGCCTTAACAACATAGTCAGCGTTTTAGTTAAATATGAAATTAACAATATTCTAATTAAAACTGTTATATTGAAATAGGGACACTGCTGCCGCGTTCTTTCTTCAGAGTATGCTGAATATGAATCTGCTCCTCAGCACTTTTTAGGCACACTGCGTGTGTAAACACGTACATATACTTTAAATAAAAGTACCTAAATACGCGTAAACCCAAATGATAAAACATTGTATCTCATTTCCATTACAAAATTACTTGTATCAAAAGATTTTTACTTTATATTTTACACATTACCTATTTAATTAATACATACGCAGTGAAGAGCAGCGTCATCTACACTATAAGGGCAATGGCGTGAATATGCAATTTGATCTTCGACATAGCACCTCTATAACGAATTTGTTAGTTAACTGATTAAATTAATATAAACTATTTTTATCCAAATCAGTGTAGATGTTTCTAATATTGGCGCGAAAAAACCAAAAGACAGACAAAAACTAAATAAAAAATTATTATTTTCTATTACTTTGATATATTTACCTAACTATAGATGTATTATTTGAAGCTAACGCGATTGATGGTGATCCGACGGCTTTACATTTATTTAGATTTGTTATTAGTGTTTTCCATCACTTTTAACCTCATTTTTATATCACTAGTTTGAGGTCTATAAGACGAAATAGCTTGACTTAACATAAACAAGACAAAAAGGACCAACGAAATTCAGAGTAAAACATCTAAAAGAAAATATGTTCTACCTATAATCTACACTAAAATCACTTGACTATTGGATAAATTTTACCATCAGAATACTACATATCCCTGAGTAACAACTTTACTAACATAACAAATGCGAAAGTAACTCTGTCTGTCTGTCTGTTGCACTTTCACGCCAAAACTACTGAACCGATATTTTTTTTAATTTTACAGTAATATCGGCCGCTTCTTTTATGGCGACATCCTTTTGGCCTTTTTTTATCCTGTAGATGTGTTGATCGTATTTTTTTTACTGAACCGATTTTAATGAAATATGGTACACAGATAGTCTAGACCCTGAGAAAGGACATAGGGTTCTTTTTAAAGTGAAAAAGTGTTGTAATGGGTTAGGTTACATGGAAATATTGTCATTTTTTGAGTTAATATCTTGAAACTTATTTTTTAGACTGTACTTAACTTAATTTTTAGATTACATATTGAAATTTTTTTCTTTATTTGGTCGCTATTCCTAGCGGACGAAGTCGCGGCCACAGCTAGTAGACTATATTCGTTACTAGAAAATAGATATGGAATTTAGGGAATCCTACTAAAACATCAATAAAGCAACCAAAGGTGTAAAGAAATTTGCTTTGTTTATGCCAAAATTGATTAAAAAGTCCAACTGAGGGACACCAGAATTTGACATAAAAACTCCTAAATAATTACATTACTATAGCTATAAATAGTAGTAAGGCATGCCAATAGGTAACTTTATTCATATTTTATATTCTGGTAAATATTTTTATCAAGTTACAATTATTTATAATTATTACCATCAGACCCAGCTTCTACTTTACTCTTTAACAAAGTAGAGTCAGGTAATAATATTATACATAGTATAACATTTTTTTAAATATCATAAGTAATTTAAAATAAATTATTAAATGTGTATTTAGGTCTACGTTTTTAAACTATATTTATATAATATATGATAGCTAGAAAATATTCCTTAAATTTATTTTGATTCTATCTATATAGTATAATTTTAAATATAGTTTATTTCTACAGTACTGATTGAAAAGAATATTTAATTAACCGGTAATATAACTTTATTTTCATTACTCTGAAATGAGTTAGGGTAGAAAAATATGAATTTATCTGATGGTCCCTAAATTTATAGTAATAAATATATACATATAATTTATTTATAATTTATTTTCCTTTAACTATTTACATTACAACAAACTAATAAGAAATATTTTGTTCAGATTGCTCTTTTTCTTCCTGTTCAATAATCATGTTGGCCCATTCCTCAGCCTGTCTGTACCTCTGCCTCTTTACATATGGTGAATAGAACCACCTATGACACACTACCAACGCAGTTGTTATAGATATAGCCATGAAAGTCTTCGCTAATGGACTAGCATTTTGGAGCGCAGACTTAATATTCGCCATGCTTTATTCTGATACAATTTCCTTAACCTCTTGAGACGCTTTCTTTTTTCTTGGAAAATGCTCTTCAAACAGTGGCTTCCAGATATAGACACCACCAAATACTCCTAAAACTGTAACTAATACTATTTGTCCTCTGGATATTCCACGGGGTTTATAAATTCGCATAATGTGATGTCATCTATAAACCATTATAATATGGAATTATACACAAATCAAATTAACAGGTCTGGACATAGTGAACTTTATAGATAATATTAAGCAGTGAACAACGTTCACTAAATTAAGTTTAGAAAATTAGTATAATTATGTAACAAAAACAAAATAAATCTGAAATAGAACTATAAATTGCCTGAATTAAGATATAGATAAACAAAAAATAATATTGTCTGACCACAGATTAGAAAGACCTTTCTCAGGATTGCTTGATAACTTCTTGTTTTCCCGAAAGCGACAGAAACCCGTACAGAGACAAAGTTTCTTTCCCTCGTAAATTAATTTATCTAACATTATTTTGTTTTCCTCATTTTGTGCCTTTTACAAAATTCCCTCAAACTTGGAGAAAATCCTGTCTGGTATCACTAACCGTATGCCCACAGATAAGCCTTGACCATGGATAATTTAAAAAAAATTCCACAGTTAATCATAGAATCAGTATACATCTATAAGTCAAAGGAACTATTACTTTCTCTGTGTTTTTGTTTTTCACTTGGCGATGTAAACTTTCCCCAGTAAACTAGAAAATAGCTAATAGCAATATAAATCTTCGAAGCCAGAAAAATAGGTCTGTAATTTTTAAGAATTCTTTGCCATTGTTAAAAACGTTTTTGTCTATTCTCAATTCTGTGCTTTTTGGTTCTGTTGTAAATTTCATATATGAAGTTTTTCCTAAGTTTTAATTATAATAAATACTTTCTAAATTCTTCCTGATAAATCAGTAAAGTTTGTGAATAAATAAATGTAGTTACTAAATTAAACACACAAAATAATGTGAAAGTACTTGTTTTTGAAGAATATTAATTATTTTTTTATTATTATGACATCTTATCCAAGAACCGTGCCAAATATCCTAATAACCGGTAAAATAATTGGTTTTAATTAATTTTCTTTTATATTATAACTATTTTCCTATTCTGCAGTGGTCAAAGTAAATGGGGTACATTTTATAATGTCCATAAAATTAGTACATAAAAATATTGTGATATTAAAATAACCTATAAACAAAAATGCAGTTTACTTTTTTTAGATATAGGTGTAGGGAAAATATTCTTTGGGTTACTCTAATGTGGTGATAAAGAAACGTGCTCATTTATATAGTACAGATTTATATTATCGTACTAATATTTTGGACATACAATTTGTGGTTTGTTATATATTTTAAACATTAGTCAATTTTGAGCATTTGTTCTTGTTGGTTAACTTATGATTACATAGTATGTATTCTATTATTAAAGTATACAGTTGATACAAACTGAAATATTTATTTTTCCTGGTTAGACTTGTCTTGATGATCCTTACATAAAACTAAAGATAATAATTTTAGTAAAGTGTACATCTCCTTCAAATTCTAGTGTCTAAATTTAAACAGGCATTGAACAAATGCTTTGGACAATTAGTCTATTGTCCACAACCATATTAATTTTTTGGTTATACTTGTTTTAGGTACACCAGGTGTGGGTAAATCAACTCTATCCCGTTTATTAGCTGACAAAACTAAATTCACATGGAGAGAGGTTTCAAAATTAGCTGAAGAACATAATTGTTTGGATGAGTATGACCCAGAATATCAGTGCCCATTCTTGAATGAAGACAAGGTATTTAATTTTCATTACTTTTATTTGTTGCTTATTATATCCACAATATGAAAATAATATCTCTAACTTATGGTAGGTACGAAAAAGATTTTATTTTAAATTCAAAGCAAAAATAAGTTTGTTACAACCCTACTGTGGATGTAATTACAGAGTATTATATTACTTACACAAAAAGCCAATAACTTCAAAAAATCTGATTATAGCCGGAAGGGCTGATCGCAGATAGAGAGAAAAAAAAAAAAAAAAAAAAAAAAAAAAAAAAAAAAAAAAAATATTACTTACATACTTTTTGTTTAGTTGTTAGATGTCATGGAAGGCATGATGACCACTGGTGGCAACATTGTGGATTACCATGGCTGTGAGTTCTTCCCCGAGAGATGGTTTGATGGAGTTTTTGTTATAAGAACAAACAACACTGTACTCTATGACAGATTAACACAAAGGTAAATATGATACAATATTTATAGTTATATTGTCTCTTATTTCATACTGTATTTTTAGGTGCTTAGAGAATATAAGAAAACATTCACTAAAACAATTTTGTCTTTGATACAGTGTTGGACTGCCCAAAGAAATCTGCCAAAAAAAACGTTATGTACTGTATATATAGTAATATTTCAATGATTAAATATTTAAATTTTTGCTAAATGAAATGTAATTTTTAATAATGTTAATTATTATGATAAAATATTCAAAACTAGTACGAAAATATTTTTTCTAATCTTGCTTTGTCACAATAAATTAATGATTACAATAAGAGAGCATATTTCACCTTAAGAATAACTGTTGAATTAATTTTCATTTTCAGGGGCTATTCAGGCAAAAAATTAGATGATAATATACAATGTGAGATATTTGAAACTCTTCTAGAAGAAGCACAGGCATCATACAAAGCAGAGATTGTGAAGGAATTACAAAATGACACCACAGAACAACTAGAAGCGAATATTGAAACAATTGTTGAGTGGATACAGAGGTGGAAAGAAGAAAATTTATAATAAAATTTATATATAAATATATATTCTCTGGTTGTTTTATTTATCATTGGTATTCATACTTAATCATCACAGTATTAAGTGTAGTGTATTGTAGTGTAATGTGATTTCAAAATAGATGACTCATATATGATTAGTTTTAGTGGGAGTATCTTAAGATTGGGCAAAATATTTCATAATACTTTTACAGTACCTGAAAGAATTGTCAATATTTGACTAATTCTTTTGATAATGATATTATGTATTGTAATCTAGGCGACTTCAGCTAGTGTTAAATAAACTTGTTTAACATTCCAGTTAAGTCAGCAACAGAATGTCTAGATGTTGGTTCAGATAGGGAGGTTAGAAATAAGCTAAGATATACAATTTTTTTTGGTGGTAAAGTAACGTAATTAACAGACAAAGTACTGTAAGGTACTTCCTAGTATGCATGTATTTATAATAGCATATTATATAAGACATACATTTCAAAAGGTATAATATTTATTCTGGGTAATAAAAAAAAGACCAAAATTATAAATACAACCTAATTTATTCAATATCCCACTCACATTACGTAAGAAATGCATTCAAATTACTGTATTTAGACAAATCTATGTAATAAACTAACTTCTCTCTGGTGTGTACATACATTTGTTATGAATATATAAAGATAATATTCACATATAGTAAGACACAATAAGTTAGCTGTAATTAGTGATTTGTTAAGGCAATCACACCATTAAACATTCTAATCATTCACTCACAGATCTTTCATGGAAAGTTTTACATCACAACATAATGTTTACAGTTCTTCTTTCTTGGCATTGCCCTTCCTGTCCCATCCTTTGAGTTCACTGGAAGACTGCTCTGAGACATACTTAAGGAAGTCTTCAAGAGCTCGTCCACCCTGAAATTATAAATATTTAATTTCACTTTCATGTACACAAAATATAAAATGTTTTAGTTCCCTACAAGACTGTTTATACAGATAATAGTATTTTGTTTCCCCATCATAAGTGTATGTATGTATATATTTTTTTTATGTAACTTGATCTGTTGCAAAAGAAATTAACATCTAAATAGTAATAATAAAGATATGTTTTAAAAAAAATGATTTTGGTACACTCTTTTAGTATACACTACAATATATGTAGTGTGAATAAAAATAGCTCTAGCATAAATTGACAATCCTATACTTCTTCTTCATCCTATACTTTTTACGAGGCAAGAAGAAATCGCTATTTAGCAATAAGGCTGCCCATTGTTACCTCTATATTATAATTATGTTGTTTTTTTTTATATTTGTTATACATACTAATTTATGTAATTGTTTTTTTCTTTCAATAACTAAATAATTGTTTTCCTAGTTTTTATATCATACTCACATTATATCTAACTGGCTTCTGAGACTTGTCTTTCGGCTTCCAGAAAATGGTTGGGAAACCGGACACGTCAAACTGCGCCTTGGGCCAGTCGTTAGCAGTTGCATCTATCTTTATGATGTCCACATCCTCATTGGCCAACTGTGGATTATAAAATAACATGTTAGAAGTTACTCTTGAAATATTGCTGCAGTCACCTACTGCCTTTGATTCCTATATCAGAGGTTATAATTGAAAATGATGAAATATAAGAAACAATTATAAATGTTATTACATAATTTAATACACAACTTTAAATATTAAATCTGTACTATGTTTTGTCTCATATCACTAAGATAGACAGTTCTAATTTCAATATAATGTATCGAGAGTAATAAAAATACCCTGCACATTACATAAATGAACAAAATGCTATAAAATATATCCAGAGAAATAAATTGTGTACATACCTTAGTACCAAGCTCTTCCCAAACTGGCGCCAATTTCTGACAATGTCCGCACCACGGCGCGTAGAACTCGACCAGTGCGTCCCTGCCGCTATCTGTTACGAGTTCCTTGAAGTTCTTGCCCACTGCCACCTTCACGGGGCCGTCGTTGTTTTCTGGCAGCGGCTCTGATTTGATGAAGGGCTCCAGTTTACCGTCTACCAGATCCTTGGTGAAAGCCAGCAAGTTTTCGATACTGGAAATAGAATTGAATATATATAATTTTAAGAGTTACGCTTTCACAATTAAGTTTATTGTACCTATTCCATAAAGACCATAGAGGCAAGTGATTTATTTGTGAGTAATACGAAAATAGAATTATTAAAGCTAAGTTACACTGTATAATAAATTTTAAAATGCACCAACAATTTCAATAACTAATGATGTACTTAATGTAATGTATCTTTAATGCTTGCACACACCCGTGGATACGGCAATAAGGTGTAGAGAATAACGGGACTAGTGAAACCTTGGGGTTATAGCTAGTAGGAGTCGGCAGTACCTATTAATTACATTTGTGAGCGGATGCGTCCTTAGGCTCCAGGGGTAACAAATAAAGGATTTATACAAATAATAAACTTTTAACACAACTAATTAGGCATCTGACTAACTTTAAGTATGTATGTTACAAAAGTTATTAAGTTGGTATCTTGATAAAAAGAAATACAATGTTGTGTTCTATTTTCCCTATGTGCTTAGCATGCTTAACTAAGCTATAGCTAAGTCAATTTTAATGAAAATTTTATAATAATTAGTTAACAAGGAATAACAATTCAAAATTGTAATACTATGATGCCCTTTGCATCAAAGTATATTAAAATTGAGAAATGTAATATTTATTTGCAATATAATTGATATAAATGAATTGTTCAATTTTAATTTTCATTTAATTACCCATATACTATTATCAACATAAGCATTTTTTCTATTTAACATTAGTTATTTTTATAAACATTTATTGTATTTGATTAGTTACAAATGTACTGGAATAAAATGTTAAAAATACTAACAAGTATATATTTATGAGGTATGATGGTTTAGACTAAATACCTCAGTCTCATCTACTTTAAGTGCCAACTTTTGTTTCGGTTTTAGGATGAAATAATTAGAATTACGGAATAAGGGGCATGACATCTACATAGTTCTCTGGCATGTCAACGCATGAGTTTATCATGGGTGTAACATGATAATCTGATTTCATAGTGATGTTTATGTATATGTATAGGCGATAGTAATCGCACGTTGTGAAGCCACGTGGGCCGTCAGCTAGTTTAACAGTCTAATTGCATTTAAAAGTAATCTCTAAACTTTAAATGCTTTTTTCTCAAAACTATTTCTCTCAATTTATTGCTCTATCAAACCAAAGAAATAACTGGTAGATTTGCACCCGTGTGAATTCAAGGGGAGTTGATAGTGTTGAATAAAATGTTACATTATATAATATTTATCGTTATTCTACCCTACTTTTTAAAATATTATTTTTGAGTTCCAAAAAAAAATATTATTATTATTAAATGATTACCTGAATTCTTCAGTCATAACGAATTTGTTGCCATCGGCGTCGCGTCCAGCGACCACTGGCTTATCACCCTTGGCGAAGTCAATGCCGTAGTCATTCAGCTCATGCGTGAAGTCATCCTTATCACTCACAGCGAAGTTAACCTCAGACAATTCTTTCGCGACCTAAAAAAGAGGTTTGTAATTAGTGATTGACAGCCGGGGTTGCAGACGAATGCTAATGCGGCCTCGCGATTCCGGCAATCGACATCGAAGGAACATCTTCGGGGAGTTTTTAGTGATAGTTCGCACAGTATCGCAGTGGGAGCATTATCTCTACGAGGGAGTTTTTCTCAAGTGAAAGTGAATCCTAAAATAACAAGCAATGAAATGGGATTATATTGCTTTATATTTTAATAGAAGACGACCAATTATGTTTCAATAAAATATCAGAATTCTTCAATCTATTTCCTTTCATTAATTTTACTTATCACAAAGATCGACATACCTATATTGTTCAATTTTGTAACATAACATACTGTGATTTTAAACTTTCATATATTAAATTTACCTTGAGCACACGGTTTCTCCAGTAGTTGGTTCCTTTCGGGTTCTTGACGTAGTCGACATCGTAGTATGCCACAACCAGTGGGTTGCCGAAGTCGGGAATGTTATCTTTCTGCCGGATGCCGACCAGACCGTGGCTAAAAAAAAATAAAATGTACAGGTTACACATGTCCTGGTTCCTAACAAACGAAGTCATTGTATCATCTCAATTTAGAAAGTTGCAGTTTTTACTTTCTCTTGCTGACTCCTTTATATTAATTTTAGTTTAGTTGGATGCACGTTTATGTAAATTATATAAGGAGTTAAGATAGTTAATAAATTAGGTATAGTCTATAGAGTTCGTGTAACAATAATTTTATCTTGTAAAACAGTATTAAATATAACGGAAAATATGTCAACATTATAATTGACTAATTATCGTGGTTCAACATACACATGTAACGACATAAAAGAGGGGCTAAATGGGGAAAACTGAGCCCAGCATACAATTCGTGGATCAAAATATATTTATTATAAAAACGAGTACAATAAGAAAGTAAGTAGATACTTAATTCTAGATACTCAACGGGAAATTAAATGTAGATAGAACTAAATTTATCAATCACGAACCAGAAAACTTTCTAGAAAATCGTCTGTGCCGCCAATACGTCCCTTTCCAACGTGTGTTCCGATTTGAAGATGATATGATATTAAAATTACAAACCTATAAGGTATTTATTATACTTCAAGTATTAAATAAATTGTCTCACTAGTTCTCCTTGATGAATGCTTTGAGCGAGTAGGTCTCAGGCTCGCCGCTGTATACAACAAATGATTCCTCGAATTTGTTCTGCAGCCGTTTGGGACGGAACAGCACTACATTATCCCTGTTAAAAAAAAAAAATTAAAAGCAATCAACATCTACAGTTAAAAAAATAAAACGAGTTTGACGTACGTAATGTCAAATATAAGAACTATGGTATTATTTAAAAATACATCAACATAACATAGCACACAGTTAAAAAGAACTAAAACAAGTAATGACTGGTAATATTTAAGGACACTAATAAGTGTGAAATTGCGGAAAATTATTGGTTCATAATGAATAAAAACAATTCTTTTATAACTCGGATATTGACGTGGTCACGAATAATTTTCCAACTATAATTCATTATTTCCACTTCATATCGATGTGCAAATAGCTGAGTTTTTTTTACTAATTAGAAGATCTATACTGGATTTCTAGAATACTTGCGAATATATCGTACGCTGTTCCTGCGACTTCGTCCGCGTAAAATTCAACTTTATTATTCCAAAATAAAAGTAGCCAAGTTACTCCTTATTACATTAGCTACCTGCCAAGAAAAGTCCCGTCAAAATCAGTACAGCCATTTCAGAGATTAGCCGGAACAAACAGACAGACATACAAAAATTGTAAAAAATGTTATTTTGGTGTATGTACCGTATTTCTATTCATATGCATGTAGTAAAAAACGGTTATTTCAATATTACAAACAGACACTCTAATTTTATTTATATGTATAGATGTTAAATTTTGACTTGTATTTTATGTTTTATAAATTTCATGACATTTTAAATTCGAATTTAGTTACAAATATAGTTTCTCATTACGCTTCTTTTTTCAATTGTTATAGGAATTATATGAAAATTTTGGTTAAATAGGTACCGTATGCTATTTAGGTTACATTTAATACAATTAAAATTAAGCCTTAATCAGTACTCATTAAAACGCTGAATTCCAGTAACGCTTCAGTTAGTGCGATAAGCGGATAATGTTATCGGGCAATATCCGTTAAATATAAAGAGTTTGCAAAAATAACAGTATATATTGAAATAAACGTATTGGTATTCGGTAAAAAGACGTAACCAACGTCCTTTCACAGATACTAGAATTTTCTATTTCGGAGCAAGTATCCACTACTTCCATCTCCTGGTACAGGAAACCTTTACTTATAAAATTAATATATCTACAATCGGCTGGTTTATAAATAGAAACACAAGTCTAAATACGGCGTCCTTGTCATATCAATCTTCATGTAACTTTTTGTTGGTGAAGAATAATAAATATATATAAATTATTAAGATTGAATCTTGGTCATTTCATATTTTTCTACTATATCATGGAATAAATAACCTAGGATCACTACTATAGCGTTATCTAGTCCTAAACTAATCTGAGCTTTAACTATGTATTATAGATATACTTAAATACGTTTAATAAATAACTTTAATTGCAGACTATACATGCAGAGGTAAATGAAATCTGACAAAATCAATAAGCAACATATCGAATGTTATCTACCTAATCTAATCAATGCAATATGATTTTTTTGGTACAATTTATTACCGTGCCCGCAAATCTAGGTTTTGCATAAAATTTAAAGTTTTTCCATTTTCATTTATTGTTACTAATTTACATATTTTTGTTATAAAAGGGCTACTTTTTTTGAGATAGTCTACGTACAAAGTTTATCTGCATGAGTATGTCTGCCTCACATATTTCTAACTAAGCACCTTGCTTTGTAAGTTCTGTTAAAGGTACAGATTATTGGTACAGAGACAGAACAAGTTACTCCTAAATTCTATGTACATTCCACGAATGTAAGGCTGATGTGATGTCAATGGTGCAAGTTTGCCGCAAGTCTTAATGACCATACGTTTGTTTATACACATGTAATGGTTTCGAGTTTTCGGCAAGTGCCAGGCGTGCTTTGAATGGTTGTTTTGTGTAAGCCTCATTATTGGAAGGCTCTTTAAAATAATATATAGTTTAATTACTCATTAAAAATAATATATTTCTTAGATTTTATAATACTAATAAAATAGTGGATATTTCATAGTTTTATTTTCACAGTCGACATTTAAAGTATTCTTTTTATTAGCATGACATGACTTTTAAATGGTACTAATTGAACCACCTGTTCAAATACCATGATAATAACACCTTTTTATGTGCTTCAATTTTATGTTCTAACAATTACTTGAGTACACTGTTTATTAGTTAACTGTTTTCACAGTTGCTACCTCATGACATTCAATAAAAAAAATATATGGACATGTTTTCAAGCACTTATTATTCATAAAGACATCTACATAAATATAGCTTTATTAGTTTCTTGTCCAATAGTTAGAATCACAACTGTGAAACAGGGATATTTGCCTTTGGTATCATGTGTTATTTATTAATTAATGTGTTTAAAAAAATATATATTAAAATACAATATTTTTTAAAAAGTTTTCTAATATTTAAAGTAAAAAATAAGTAGATAATAAAATAAAAAAAAAAGAAAATCCACCCTAATTTACTTACTCATCTTTGCTAATCTTTGTTAAGTCTAAAATGTTAACATGTAATATTTTTATTAATTATTGTGTTTATATAATATTATAAACATTATTGCAATTATTAATATTACTGCATAGAGACTATTACCTATATTCTGTGATAATGCTTGGGTTTTTGTGAAAAGTTTGGGTTAATATGTTGTGGTGTATTAAACATCTATACATATAAATATCATTGGAGTGTCTGTTTGTAATATTTAAATAACCGTTTTTTACTACATGGATATGAATATAAATATGGTACATAAACCAAAATAACATTTTTTACAATTTTTGTCTGTCTGTTTGTTTGTTCCGGCTAATCTCTGAACTGGACAGATATTGACGGAACTTTTTTTCAGGCAGGTAGCTGATGTAATAAGAAGTTTAGAAAAATAAATACTTTTATTTTAGAAAGTTAAATTCCATGTGGAAGAAGTTGCATGTACAGTTAGTAAATGTATATGTACCAAATTAATTTCAAATTGTTTAACTGTTTTAGTGTGTACAATATAAGTATGACTGGAGGAAAAGGTGATTGTTAGTAATGTAAATTGATGGCTTTTTTTCTAGCTAGGTATCATGTTAGCTTGACCTCCATGCGGTTCCACTGGAAACCATTATGATAAATTCCTAGTGAATTTCTCATAATAGGGTAATTCACTTGACCTCATGCAGATCTTATCATCCTCCACTGGTGCCCTGGCAGAATAAACTGTTAGCATAGGAGGGTGCATCATTCCATTATCATCCATACAAAAAATATTAGTAGGACCAGAACCTATGAAATACCAATGTACATTTGGTCTATACTGTTATAACATTTTAAAAGTATAATAATATGAACATTCATAAATACTTACTTGTAACCAGCTTTAGCCAGCACTTCCTTAACAGTGGAATGTCCAAAAGTGATTTCTTCACGCATTTTGTCTGCAGTCTTAAGGAACTCTCCTTTAAGATCAGTTTCTTTCTCAAAGAAGCCAACAACAACAATATCCTCTTTGCCAAGGAATGCTTCATATTCAGCAACAGTCTGCAGCTCCCGAGAGCTGGGACCAACTTGTGCACGCATGTATTTGACAATGCCATCTGAAGATGAACATATAGGTTTAGTGGGGCCAAGCTCTTTCAAATGAGGGCCATCATGTCCACGCATGAACTTCACAATGCTACCTAAATGTGAAGAAAGTTAGCAACTTTGGTTCTATATTTTACTACTGAGTGTTGTAAAATTTAGTTTATTTTACTCCAGCATATTTCACATTGTACTTATTAATATAGCAAGTAACCCAGGTTTTTACATTATATCAATTGAAATATAACATACTTTTATTCTAATAATAATTACTTAAAATCCTTCAAATAGATGGACTATGTATGAATATATATATGACTATATAGGATATGAATATAATTTATGTCAAATATGTTTTTTAAGTTATCCCTACCATAGACACATATATAAAACCATCTCTCTATTATCTCAGGTTTTCTAAAAGTGGGGGTAGCTCACTGAGATAAAAACAACAAAATTCAGAGGAATTATAGTTAAGGAAATAAAAAAATAGCACACGAAGTTTATAACTTACTGGATTCCCTAGGACCGTTATATTCTTGTGAAAGTTCACCCTTCCTGAATATTTTCAGAGTAGGGTATCCTGATACAGAGAATTTCTCGCACGTGCTTTTCCCACCCTCTGTACAGTCTACTTTGGCGAGGGCTACCGGTGTGTCATCATTTTTAAGGATGCCGGCAGCCACGGCGTACTCTGGCTTCAATCTCTTACAGTGGCCGCACCTTATAAGTATAATTAATAGTTTAAAATTAATCATTTCAATGTAGTTGGTAAGTAATGTTTATAGTTAGCTATAAAAGTGAATGACTTACCATGGTGCGTAAAACATGACTAGAGCGGTATCATGTTGGCCTACTACCGTAGAAAAGTCTGAATCTGTGAGATCAAGAACATCTTCTTCGGCGGCTTTACACAAGTAAATTATTCCTAGTAATAAAATGATTTTGAGTGAATTAAACATGTTTAATATTCGCCAGCACTTAATAGTAAACGTGCGTAATTCCTGGCTGACGAACTAATGCTGGGTGACTGGAAAAAAAGAAAGGACAAAGACCGGAAAATACAATATACACGTATGATGCCGCAAATGACATTTCCCGGCACAGCGTTGTCTGTTTCTGATTGGCTTAACAAGGACGCGTTCTTTAATTTCTAATCTACTCATATGACCATTTTACAAAATAGTATTGTAATTATAATTTGAACATTAATTGTTTGCATATCTAATTTTGAAGTTGATAAAAACGGAAGCATACAGATTTCCTATGTTTTGTGAACATATTATAAAAATGAAAATTTAAGTAAATAAGATTTTCGTGATCATGATCTAAAGAAAAGTGTTGCAATAACAATAAATATGGTTATTCCAAAATGCTTTATCATCTCTATATAGTTTGTAATTTCATGAATGGAAATGTAATAATTGCGATATTTTAGATAGGTAATATTAAAAAGTACTTGTAACTGTATTTAGAATGGAGAACTATTTAAAGTTTGATGTGGTGTCCTATTAGTGGGAAAAGACGAAAAGAGATTATTTGTAATGAAGTTCGGCCGTTACTATGAATATATTAGCTTGACTTCCACGAGGGCTCATTGGAAACCACTCAGTGGTTGATTTCTGAATAATTTGTAACAATAAAACTGACCTCATTTCATTCACGTACCTTCAATGTCCAGGGTAAACCGTTAGCGTAAGGGCGTGAACCATTTCGATATCATCCAAAAAAGAAAGAAACACTAAAATGCATATTAAGTATTATCTGATTACTAAATATATTATTTTAAAATTTCAATACCGTTAAACATGGCTACAGTGACAATCCTTTTTATCGCCTGTTACTCATGCTATTAGGTAGACATCATGTTACAAAGATAAACAAATTCATTTTGGGTTTTTTTTTCCTATTTTACCTAACTATATGAAAATTAATTAGTATTATGTAATTAATCATACAATGCCTGCTCATATTAACACATGTCATAATCAGTACATAATTATAATATTATGTATATGTTTTCCCGTTAATATTATTAGTATAATAAAAAAATGTCAAATATTTTCAATATTTAAATTATTGTATTTTAGCATATTGTATTATGTATTAATGTAATTAATTTTAGGTAATTGACTATTAAATTTTATGATATATTGTAGATTATTTTAACATATGACTTATATCACATGTCTGCACTGTTAATAAAACAAAATAGTAAAGAAATAAATAAAAGTCTATGATTATGAAAAGTAATTTGTTACCATAAGTTTTTTAACACAACTATTTTGTGCTGTTATTGTTATTAAATGGAGCTATTGGCAATATTAAAAATTGAGTTCATGGCAACACCAAAGTCGGCTTTTGGCATTGGCTTCGCTGTCAATCGGAAAATGGCAGCGACGAGTGTTGTCGTTCTCGACAGAGGCAACAATACAACTTGTACCGTAAACCTTTTCGGTAAGTTTTGGTTTTTGAATCATTTATAATAGTTAAATTTAGATAATACTTTAATATTTGATCCTTATATAAAATACTAAAAAGTAATAATTGAAACGGCGGCATAACCTTTAACTTCTTTATTTATTTTTGTACCGACGCGCGGAACTTTTGAAATACATAGTGTATTGTAATAAATGGTACACTAATAGTGATTATTAAGTACTGGACAGAAATCTTTAGCGAATGCATTTACAGATCTGTGTTGTGATTGTGTGTGTTCATCGTAGGTACTTAGTTTTCAAGTTAGTTTTTTTTTCTCACTCAGTGAATAGAATAAATTGTCTGCGGCGAGTACGACCTTGGTTATTGGATTGTAGGAAGTAAACTATAGATACTTGCTATTAAATTGTAGGTTGGTATTTGATGTACTCACAAAAAATATTCATAAGACATACATAGTCAAGTAATATAATAAGTCAAATTAATGAGGAAATGAATTTATAACTTGAAATCACTCTTACATAAAATAGTAGCACTTATTTTATAAGTAATAATTTATAATTGTAATTTAAGTTTTATAAAAATAGATAATGAGTAGAAAGTTGTGTATCATTAAGTAATGTATTTTAATATTCTTTTGCTTATAATTTTCATTTATGATGTGATCTTCTATCTTTTATATACCATGTCAAATTCTGTTGAAAATTAATTGTTGTTGTTAAATCAGTATATCATAAACAAGTATTATATTTTTATATATTCCAAAATATCACAATAGGGTACTGATATTGTATTAGAAATATTGAAGAATTTATTTAGGAGTGGTCTCCATTTTATTAAGTTGTATTAAGATAGATTTATCTTGTAAGTCTTATCGCTGGAATTGTAACTAACATTTTGTTTTCAGGAGCAACAGTAGTATCATGGCGTGTGAATAACCAAGAACAATTATTTGTTAGGTAAGTCTAGTTCTATTATTACTTATATTATATGTTTAATAATTAATAAGTAAATTTTAAATATTCTTATTAAAATGACTGTTAGGTCCTGTAAAACTTAACTAATAGCCAATAATTATTTGAATATGGGGTTTTTAGTGTATTAATTCTCTCGTAAATAACTATTAATACTGTAATACTTAGATGAATGTACTTCAGTGCTAATAATATCTAATATGGCCAAACAATGAAACTGCATGTAAATTTAATAGTTGCAAAATAAGCATAAACTTAACATCATATGTTGTCACATTGTATTCTAAAATTTTATGTGCAATTGAGGTTGTGACAGTGTTTTATTTTAATGGTGATCCGCTATCTTTAACGGCATATAGTAGTGGGGCATAAGTGGAGGTTGACATGATGAGCATGAAGTCAAGTCAGTTAACCCATCTTGGTGAATTCATTAGGAATGCACCATAATAATACCCAGATGGACAGACTCGACACTAACTTCACAACAAGTCAACCACGCCAATAGTCTCCATTACTTATGACCCTTTCCCCCCACCAATGCAGAATAATAGGATGAACTTAGGTCAACTAGTGACAAATTTACTAGGAATTAACCACAATGGTTTCTAGGGTGGACCGTATAGGACTCGATAATAAGCTCGATAGACAAGATTCGACCTTCGAATTGATTAGTTGTGAGTCACTTTTCCCGTTACTAACAATCCTCTCCCCCCATTGATGTAACTTTTTTTATGGATGACAATGGTATGGTGCAATCACCTGCGCTAACGGTAACGGTGCTCACCAGTGGAGGATGATAAATTGAGCATGGGGTCAGGTCAGTTAGCCCATAGTTGTAAATTCACCAAGAATGTAGCACGATGGTTTCCAGGGGGAACCGTGTGGAGATCAACCTGACATGGTACATTGCTAGCAATAGGGTTATTAGTCCACATTACTAGCAATCCCCCTTCCCCCCGTTACATAATTATTATATGTAATCATCTATTCGACTCTGTCTACGATGAGAGTATTTTTATTTCTAGTAATTTACCTTATGCATGTGATTAAAATATACAATTTTCTACAAACCGACGCAAATTATACACTCAATTATAGCAAAATTATTTTCCCCAAAATATGGCAAAAATAAATTATTGTAATTATTATTACAACATAATCATTTACTAAATAGAAAATTTAAGTGAAGTGACTGTTGATGTGCATAAGTCCCTATAATTGTCTGCTTATTATGTTGTACAAAATTTACGTTATTATGTAACCAGAACAAATTAAAAAAGAAAAAGTCTACAACTGCTAGCTATACAACGTACCCACTTTGAACAGGGTTACGGAAGAATCATAATTTTCGTGGTCTCACCCGCGATGAACTGAGAGGTATACCATGGGGATTTACCTGGCAGCAGTCGGGCAGTATCCATTTACGTCCTATGGCGAATGGGTCTCTATGGTTGATTCTCCTGATATAAAAAAAATGTGCCTAACAATTTGTATAATTATCAATCATAAATTATAAAGAAAAAGTATATTTATAAGTGTATTTATTCATATAATTATTTACACGATCAATGATTGAATGTGTACGGCCAAGGTTACATAGAATAAACATAGAACACGTAATAAATGGTTGTGAAATGGCAAAAAGATGGATTGAAAAAATTGCCCAAGTATACGTATTTATATACCAGCCAAGCCGTCTCGTAGTTTTGATAGTAAATATTGTTCGATGAATTATTGCGGGCGGTCAGGTCGCTTTACACATATCTTACATATTTATATGATGATGATTTATATATAAATACGATAATATAACAATTGATTTAAATTCGCAAGAATAATAGTAGTAAATATGTCTTAAGTATTTTTAGTGACATGTAATCTTTGTACCTACCCATATTTCATAAATAAAGTACATTGAATTGAATAATTAAATAATAGGAATTTATAAATTTTTATTCACGTTAAATTTGCTTATGGTGACACTAATCAGTAATCACTAAGGTCTGTCTAATTCTGTGGTTCTAATACCAGTTGTGATTCCTTTGTGTTGTTACTTATACGCAATTACATTTGTATGCACAAAATATAGCTGAATATGGAACTATATACTTACTTCTAAGAACCATAGAATTATTATATTTACTGTACAATAAAGTGTTACAAACAAACAAACATTAAAAGCAAATAAATAATAAAATATGTACTTTGAAATGAAAGTTGGATGCACTTGTGACGTCTATTTAAATCAGCTTGATTGCGCTGTATACGCTTCGGGGTCAGTCGCATCTAGGCGTTACATTAGGATTTATGTTAATAGAACCTAAAGAATATAAATTCAGTTGATGAAGGAAAACGATGTAGGAGTAAAAACTCTGTATTGTTATTAGTTGTAATTTATTTTTTATTTGACTTAAAAGCCCACTAATATAATGACTGCCATGATAGACAGTAGGCTTCCTGCTGCTTGACAGTCAAACTAGGTGGTAGATACCCACGTTGAGGACATAGTACATTGTCTCCATAAAACATATTTAGTTGCTGTCCATTGATTTGAATGCATTTACAATGCTGGACTTTTATATATATGTTGTTATTAAGAATACATTATACTAGCTGACTCGTGCAGCTTCGTCTGCAACACACTTACTTGACATTTATCTTTATATTTCGCTCAATTTACATAATATCTTTTTCAAATATAGCCTTTATGTTATTCTGATGTATAAACTAGTAGTAGTTATTGCGTGAAAGAGTAACAAACATCCATCCATACTCACAAACTTTCCCCTTTGTAGCACTTTAAATACAAAATTGTAATAAATACCAGTCAACCTAAACAGCCTGACACAAGAACTGGTGTGTGGGCAGTGTGGGTCAGAGAAGAGCAAATAATAATTGTAAGAAAAGACGATGTAAAATATATATTAGCACTCTGTGAATGTAGGAAAAATAAGCAGTAAATGTTGAGTCATAAGAATGTATAGAAGTTTGGGTGATTACATTTATCAAAACACAAAATCAGAATCAATAACATAATTTACTTATGTAGTTGCGTACAAAACACTTACCATATAATACCTGCTTTTTTCTTTTTACATGTTTGTTTTATAGAATACAAACCTATATCAACGAATATACTTTTAATGTATCTTTTAATAAATGTTACGAATAAAAGCGTGTGTAAGTATGCTTTTGCCTTCAATTTTGTTTAATTTCAAGGGAAAACACTTTGTTTCATCGCAATTAATTCGAAATCAATTTAGAGGCACACGTATTGTACGGATGCAATTTGGCGCTGGGACAAAAAACGGTCTCTCCGCGAATGGCTCTAACAAACGACCGACTGGCGCTAATGATTCTATGCGGTACATACCTATACATCTGTGTATACAGTACGTACTACACCGACTCCACCTAATCTCGTGTAGAAGCAGAGATGGGATTTAATTTGCACATTGTAACGATCTTACACAACTTTATACTAATTACCCACTAGCTAAGACCGCGGCTTTTGATATGTCGTTATTAGATATTTTATTTGCAGCATACATTTAAATAAAAAACGCGTAAACAATATGTAACCCTAAATAATATCTATAACTTCACAATATTGTCATCTATCGTGGTGATACAGAATACTCATTTTTCTTTGTATCTGATAACATAATATCTTAGGACAATTTATACAGCGTAATCTAGTCCCAAGCTAAGCAGCTTGCGTTATGGGCACTAGACAACTAGTATAAATTCATAGATTTTTTTTATAAATACATCCATGTTATATATAGAAAACTTCCAGACCGATACAAACATCATAGGTACTCATGAATACAAATGTTTGAACAGTGCAAGGAATCGATTCCAGGACTATAGGAAGTAAGACGGTGTGCCTTAGACAATCGATGCCGTCAAATTGTATAATTCAGTGTCAAGAGGCGACTCTACCGCCATATCTAGGATGAATTTTATATAAATTAATATAAAAATACAGACATACTTGTGTTAATAATATATGGAGGCACCGACGTATGTACATCCGTAAATTGGGATAAAAAATATCCTGTGTTAATCTGAATAATATAACCCATTTTGTGTTTAAAATATCATAGAATCAGTTAAGGCTATGACATACAGATGTAGAAACAGTTAAACATTATTGTACTATCTGGCATCCCGTTACGTTTATCCTACTTTACCACAAGTAGGTATGATATATATGAGTATGATATATATGAGTATGATATGTATGATATTAGGTGTGTACCAAATTCATTAAAATCCGCCCAGTCCGAAAATCCTCTTAAATTTACAACTGACTGTTCTTCTGTACAAGACGATTTCAATGCCAAAAGTTTTCAATTAATTACATATTTTTTATTTAATTTAATCGATAGTGTTTACAACCGTGTTGCACCAACAGATATAAACTGTAACACTAGAGCTGCTAAGCAGCTTGCTCCGTAAGCTAAGTTTCGGTTGTACGGTAGATAGGCATTGAGATTATAGGATAAGAGGTACGACATATTTGTCCTATGGAGTGGTATCACCGGTGTCAGCTGATGACGTGTCCTTAGTGCTTTCCACGTCTTTAGGTAAAAGTTACCACTTACCATCAGGCATGCCGCCGGCTTGTTCGTCATTATAATTACATAAAACATATATACATGTATACATACATACTTATTGGCTGAATTTAAAATAGCGTTTATTCTCTAAAAAAATTTAAATCAAAATATAAATAACTTGTAAATCTGTAAACAAAGCTTGGAAAATTTAGTATAAAATCTTAATTTAAATGTCGTTGATTATATAACGAGGTCTTTTATAATTAATAATTTAGTTCGGCTCTATTAATAGTCTCTATATGTGTACACGCTTCAATGATTAGTAGGCTCTATCATCTATCTATGTTATTAAGTGATTGTAAAGTCTTACAGATTTACATGCAAAATAAAATAAGGTTTAAAAATCGTTCTTAAAACGTC